CACATGCTTTGTGCTTATACCGATATACGAGGTATTATCAAAACGTTCGCGGCCCGATATACTTCTAGCAACTACAATGACATATACAGACAATACGTCGATACCGATATCTTATTAAAGAGTACTGACCGAGTTAAACGCGGTTTTACACAGATTAAGTAACATTACACACTTTGATCAGTAGAGAGGTGTGTCATTTAGACCAAATGGAGAAAGATGAAATCAGAGCCGTACCTCTTAAAGAAAGGGATGTCCCCACAGGAAATCCACGAAGACTTCATGGATACACTTGGGAAGGAGTCCCCTTGAGCACTGTAAAAATATGGGCTGCTGAATTTAAGAGGGAAAGGTATATCATTGGAGCTGATGAGCGGCTTTGGCGACCAAAAGAGGCCACCAACGATGAAACCGAAGCTGTGAACGATCTGGTCATGTGCGACAGAAGGCGAGACAAGCGAAGCATAGCTAGGGAAGTTGGTATAAGCTTTGGTTCAGTGCAGGCAATGCTGACTGATGTGTATGGTATGTCAAAGGTTTCCGCTAGATGGGTCCCCAGACAGTTGACTTACGACCAGAAACGGACCAGGCTAGACATTTCAAGATACCGTTTGTTCCGCTACGAGGATGAACCTGATGTTATCTACCGGATCGTAACTCAGAATGAAACATGGGCCCATCACTTAGATCCAGAATAAAAAAGAAAGCAAGGCATGCAGTAGAAGTACAATGCACTGGCTCACCCCCTCCGAAGAAATTCAAGCAGGGAAGATGATGGCTTCAATATTTCTTGGATAGTCATGGGAAAAATAATGATTGACTATTTTGAACAAGGTCGTACCATAAACGGTACGTACTATGCAAACTAATTGAGACGTCTGCCTCAGATAATCGCGCGTAAAAGGAGGGGAATACTGAACCAAAGCGTTTTGCTCCTGGCCGACAAAGTGCCAGCTCAAACATCACAAGTTACGATGACTGCTGCGGTTGACTGGGACTTTGAAATTCTTACCCATCCCCCATATTCTCCGGACTTTGCCAACTCTGACTTCTACCTGTTTCCAAAACTGAAAACCAAGCTTTTCGTGATAGACGTTTTGGAAGCAATGAAGGTGTCATGGAGGCGGTCAATGAGTTCTTTGAGGACCAAAAAAGAGAGTTCTGTTTTGAAGAGTTAAACAAGTTGAAGCATAGGTGGGCAAAGTGCATTGATATAGAGGGCAATTATATTGAAAAATAAGACCATTAGCATGGTTCTCTGACTACAAGAAGTACATCGGCCCGAGAACTTTTTGATCAATCCTCGTAGTGTTACTAAATCTAGTTCGTACTTCTTGAAATTTATAGAAAGCAGTGCTCCTGTCTTCCATGGTGATATATTCTCCATAGTTGGTTACTATCATTGTTTTGTGTATTAAGCCCAGTTAAACTTTTCGAGAATTTTATATCAGTAACAACTCTAAAGTAAGTCACTCACACAGCACTTTCTTAAATAAAAAAAAATATTAAGTTACAAAAGAAATTTTTTAAACGCTATGAGCTTCTTTGAGTTCCAATCCATTTCTTTATTTACTACGACATAATAAAGTTGAAAATGCTTTAATACACTAAAGTTCCTATAAAATAGTGAACAACAAAAATCCTAAAAAAAAGCCCAACACGGCAAAATTGTAAAATGTTGCAGGCTCGGTTTGATTGAGCCTGTTCATGCACTGGAAAGTGCAAGTTACCGTCCACGCCCCATAGCACCGGCTTAAGCAGAACACAAAAATAGTGAATTTTGAATTTAGAAACATCCGCAGATGTGTTCATAAACATTCATAAACATTCACTTAGTAAAACGTGTCTTATTCCAAACGCGAAGAAAATTAATTGTTTCGGTTGAATTGACCGGGTAAGACGTACAGTATTTGTACAAGATTACGGTTTTCTACAATGTTTCTTTCAAAATATAAATATCTTTGTTTAAAAAAATAAGTACTGTATAGAAAAACAACTTTTACGTAACACGTTTATGTCATCCTCATGTTATAAAAAAACATTTTATACATTTATAGTTCTCGAAGCATGCATGTAATAGATTTTACATGAAGTATTACATAATGATAGTGCATTTTTTTAATAAATGTAACATTAATGCATTAATTTATAACTACTGATACACATTCCACACAAAAATTTTTGAACTGTCAGAAATGTATTTTTTGTTTTCAAATAATTGTGATTAATATTTCCAAATTATTTTCATTACTGCATGAAAAGCAAATTAATAGAAAACTAATAACATTTATGTTGTACCTGAAAAGTCATACGATCTGAAAACAACTTTATATGGCTGTCTGTTGACTTACTGTTGCTGTTGCGTTGAAACTGGTTTTCTGTAATATATACCCTCGCTTTTACAACATGCAACGTAATTATAGCAAAATTAAATCGCGCAAGTTTAAACAAATAATTATTGATATTTCAGAGAACAAGAGAGTAACATTGTAATCATGATTCGGTTTCCCATATTTATGTATAGACCTGTAGCGTATATTTGCGTATATCTAAAACGCGGTTTCATATATATGCGATATAACAAAGGAAATTAAGGCGTTAATGCAACAGATGTTGCATTTATAATTTAATGCGTTCCTTTAAACTTTTGTAAATATACAAACTGCAATAAGCAGAAGTCGGTTTTAAGTGTGATCATAAAATTAGATTGACGGTGAGACTTGTTTTGATACCTATTCGCATGAAGTCGATGAGGGTCTATCCGCCCATTAATATAGTCTAAAAGTTGCTATCAGGTTCGGACTGTATTGGAATGTCACAAAGTCAATGCTCTTTATGCGATTTCTATCAAGTACTGTCCTAGACACGTCACCGGTTAGGATTAAATTTGGAAAGACAAAATATTGATAAATACCAGCGTGCAATTTCAAAAGAGAAAGCAGCACTCCTCGAGATCATAAAAGGTTTGGAAATGTATAGTAAAGTAAAAATAAAATACTGTGAGTTGAATGAATAAAGTAATTTACATATTGCAATCGGCACTTACAATCCACGAAAATTAGCAAAATGTGGTCAATAAATTCAAAAACAGCCCTTACTGTGTTAGTAACGCAGTAGAAATATGGTGATAAAATACTACAAATCAGTTTTAAATCGCGCATAACAGGTAAATATAACTTGGCTCTTGAACGTTTTTACCTTTCTTTAAAGTTTAGTGCATTTTTCTCAATGTTGATCTTCTGAAATATTTTGGCTCATTTGGAGGCGTGCAGCTTTAACAAGAAAAAAAATATATAAAAAAATTGAGCCGAAAGCAGGTCACTCGCTAATGGCCATTCAACACTTTTACTTGTATCCTCTGAAAAGTAAAGGGGCAAGTCCTGGTAAAAGCTAATGATCCCAACAACTGGCCTGACTTTAAAGCCGTAGTAAGGCATAGGTTTCTCATGCACCATAACACCTTTTACTCATGCTTCATTACAAACATCCGCATACAAAATACAGAAACTTTATACAATATCATGATAAAGTTCACTGAACTAAACAAAAATATTTATGATGCTTGTTATCGACAAAAATACAAGAGTGTTCGATTCCAAAATGTCATATATAAAAATAGAAATGGACAATAAGATATGTTATTTACGTTCATAATTAGTCAATGACATCGAAGAGATTAATCATAAGCCTAAAAAAAAAGTGTTTACCCTAACGCATAAGTTGCGCTGTCTGTCAGGAATTGTAGTAGTAGTAGTAGTAGTAGTAGTAGTAGTAGTAGTAGTAGTAGTAGTAGTAGTAGTAGTAGTAGTAGTAGTGGTATTGGTAGTGGTAGTGGTAGTGGTAGTGGTAGTAGTAGCAGTAGTAGTAGCAGCAGCAGTAGTAGCAGCAGCAGCAGCTAGCAGTAGCAGCAATTAATAAAATAAGCATGATTATACTGATAGAATGGATTTATACTAACCGTCTGTACAATATCGGCACATTTTGCTCATAATTAGTGTTGTAGCGCATATGTTTATACCGTACGGTAAAGTTAAAATTCTAGTTAAGGGTTCCTTCTTAGAATCTACATAATTATGTTTCTGATGAAAATGAGTAAGTTGTTCCAGCAACACCATACGACATACAAGATAAGTTTTGATGATTTATTCAAAGTTTGGCACAATTTTGTCAATTTACGATTGAATAAGTCTACATTAGATAAAGAGTAAATTTAACATAATACCTTTTCCTAAGTTGATGTACGAAAAGGATTGATACCACATTTGTTTCTTCATTTTAATTACGGTACATCCGCCCATCTTATCATAAAAAGAAGTTTCGCTATCGATTACAGACCTCGGACAACTATGTCACCATACATACCCTTAGGTTCAGTTTATACCAAAGTGCTGATATTTTACAACCGTGCAACTTGCAAAGAGTATAAGCCAAAGATACAAATGTGTGTCCGAAAATAACTTTAAAAAGGCACCTAGAAGTACCTGTGACAGTAATGAAAGGGGTAGCCCTGATATGAGATGTTAGTTCGGAGAAAGGGGCCTGCCTAATCAGCCGCCACTGCGTACAAAGACTTTTTGCATCCTACTACCTTTCCAATTCGTTCCTGTCTTCCCTGTAGGACCATATGTCTCGGCTTCATCAAGCACTTCGGCAGCTCAATCTTTCAATGTATGATAGTAATTTTCCAGTAGGACCTGTTTCCGTGTAAAGAATTAAAAATCGGATCTTAGCCAGTCAGTCAATGTCCTTGGTGATCCAAGTTTGACCAAGCTCTAAATCTATCCTATTTTTTTTTAATGGAGGAAAAGGAATTTTAATAAAAAAACTAAGTTGAATCTTAAAAAAAATGAAAATTTTGTTTGTTTAAGTGTGAACATCAGGACAACGAATAGTAAAATTTCTTGCTCATACTCTGTCAAAGACTTTACCAATTGACGAAATCTTTAACAGGATTTGTTTTTTTTAATAACTACAAAAACAAAAATTACAAACACATACAAGACGTAATATTATTATTTTTCCTGCTTTTCTTACACAAAACAGACATAGTGACATTCAGTGGAAGAAAAACAAAAGTAAGAACAGTCGGTGAAAAAGGATGCCGCTTCATCGTCTCTTCTTCTACCAAGCCTGGAGCCTCCTGCAAATATAGTAATATGAGCATTGTGATCAAAATTTAATCTTAGCTTAACACTGTACTTATTTGATACGACAACACTAATTATTAATGGAGGGACTTTAGATATTTGATGATAACTCCATTGAGTATTTATTGAAATGTCTTAAAACTTTATATTAAATTTTATACATTTATTTAGTTATTTAGTAAATTAGTTATTTAGAAAGTCGGTTAGTCAGTTAGTAAGTAAGTAAGTTAGTTAGATAGTTGATTGGTAGGTAGATAGTTAGGTAGGTAGGTAGAGCGAAAAGTCCCTTCTATACATAATTTTCAGAAGAAGAGGACATCTTAGTAGAGATACTGATCAAGTTAGTCAGCAAGCAGGTTAGCTTTCTCGTGTGTACAGAGTATTTATTTCTTTCCGAATCCGAATCCACAGCGAAAAGCAGCAAGTGATACAAGTTAGCAACTTTATTAACTATTTGACTATGCTGCGTCAAACTTCATTCTATGTTATGTTCATAATATGAATGAGTGGAACTGCATAAGTGTCCATCTTGCATAAACATGTACTTCGTTTGTTAATATCTGTTAGTATTCTGAGTTACATTTTCTTAAAGACTTTATATAAACAATACATATGAGTTCCCGTTTCATGTTGCATATTTTACAAGTATTAGTCAGAATGAAAAATCCTGAAACATTATAAGCAATGCATTGTCAATTATCAAAATTCTTCAGTAAATCGTATGACTAATGCATGAATTATAATTAAGCAGTAACAATGTAAGGTACCAAATACATGTATCATGTGTTTGAAATTGTGATCAAAATACAACCTGTTTGGTCACTTTTTGTCATGTATACATTCCCGTCAGCACACATGCTTTGCACCTCTACCGGAAGTTCTACCAACCTCACAATAACAGTTCTATCAACATAATTGTTTATCCTTTTCACAGGTACCAACTTCTCTATCTGTTAGAGGAAATAACACATGTTTCTTTAAAAGCAGAGACAAGACAGTCATACTGTCTTTCAAATCCTAACTTTAAATTATTTGAAGTACTGAATTGATTTAATATATAGAAATCTTATAGATATTTTGGATATCTTTCTGATGACGATGTATTTGTTAAAATAATGAACAGAATAAAATAAATATTAGTAAACGAAAAGATATTTAACGGTTACATCTTACCATATGTATCTTAGGAAATTAGGTAGAGGCAATAAACAGGATTAAATGTTCTATTTTGAAATACTATTAATGATATAATAATAGCATATGGATTAATGGGTAACAGTAAAAATATCATCCCGAGGAAAATACTGTTTATATACAGTTTTTAACAAAGGGATGATATATTTACTGTTACTCAAAAAACACATGACTTGTATTATTCATTTTATTACCCCTGACAAGAAATGTGATGATTTTTTATGATTGGAATATTGGCCATGTGACACGAGTTTTATTATATTACTGTTAAATATACCCTTAAACAGTACAATTGTCTTAGTCACGTGGTACACTTGCATTTACAGTATAAATTGTTCCCAGTGGCCTATGGGAAATTAACCTTACACGAACAGTGAAGGGTTATAATGATATTTATCTCACCCTGGATTGAATGTGTCTTGTAGAAAGTTCTGTTACTGTGTCTGTATTAAGAAACAATAAATAGCAGTCATCCCTTCCATTGAACTTTATTACTGCCATACCCTGTGAGGAAATTGATATAGTGTTATATTATACAGAGATTTATAAATTATATGTATTTATTTCTGATCTGTCTTGGATATAGCCATAACTACATCTAAATACAAATGCTTAGCTATAATCCATGTTATCTGAAATACGGCAAATTATAATAAGTATAATTGTTAATTTGAAACAAATAAATCCAATGATATGGCGGACGTGTTTGGATCTATTTAATTTACAGCGAGAGATAGAGATTTCAATGTATAATACAGCAAATGTCTCAAAATAAATTATTTATCAATTATCCCGCCATTTTAACATTTCGCTTGGCGGGGTCGCGGGGCGAAAACACGAGTGACTTCAAATCAGCCACTTTACATGGCTCAATCAGAATTCAATATAAAGACATACAATGTGGTGTTTCTAAGAATTCCGTAAACTCAGCAGATGTTTAACAATGTGGTATCTACGGAATAACCAATTTGATGTTGCTGTACCATTTAACTAAAAGCGGGGGAATTTACATGTATTGTCCCTAATCAATTACAATGGGTGCTTTTATCTTATCAGGAACACAACTTACGAAACTTAATAAATAATTATCAAATAAAGTATTGCAAACGCTTAAAAAATATAAAACTCTTCTAATATAATCGTAATTAACACAAATTCGCTCTTGCCCTCTTTAGATTCGGACAAATACGTAATTGCTTTCAAATTACAAATAAGGCGACTCGCCGATACGTTTATTATAGGATCTGTAATCATAAACTTTTTACTTGTTCTGATGGAACCGAAACTGAATAGCGTAAAGATAGGCAGACATGAATATCCTTGCAGTCTAACCAGGCTCTATACTGTTGGCAGCTCATTTTGATATATTTTAAAACAGAAATCCCTTAAACTTTGAATGGACTGTTGCAAATTCAAAGCTTAGTAAAAACATTATACAAATTCCGTAGGTTATGTAATAACAATTCTGTCTTTATGTACGAAGAACATATTTCGTACATTTTGAAATTCATAGAAAGCAGTATTCCCGTCTTCCATGGTGATATATTCTCCATTGTTGGTCACTGTCATAGTCTCGTGTATTATATTACCAGCTGTGGTATGGACCTCAAGCGTGACGTTATTCTGTAAGGGAGCACAAACTTCTTATTTTTTATCGAAAACACCAATTCATTATGATTAACAAGCTTACGTAAATAGAAGAGAATTCTGGATGAAGAATCATTTTTATTGGCATCAATTAGAATAAATGGTCCCTATACGGCTGCATGCAAAGGCATTATTGCACATATTCGGAATAATAAATGAATATTTCATTCGATAGTTTACATTCGTTTGTACGGTGAAAAACCAATCAGTTCAATTACGTACTTTTGCTATAATTTCAAGCTGCATATAGATATTCTACAAAATGAAATTTGAACGAAGACTAATGTAGCTATATACTCTTCAAGAAAAAAATACCACTGCTACATATGTTAATAATTTAACCAGTACCCTATTGTCGCCTTAGGGTAAATTTAATTGCGGCTCTACAACGAGATAAAAATGAACAGAAAAGAAAATCATTATGATTCAAACTAACCCCTAATCCATTTTCTACCATCAGAACAACATGGATAACAAGTCCATATATTGTAAGCCTTTTAAATGCCATATTCTGAAGCGCAAAAAATAAAAATTGTATCATTTGATACACAGACATAAAAGTATACATTCTAAAGCATACTCAACAGTATGAACTCGTCATTTTATTTCCACATTTTATCACCTGCAATGCAAGATTATATATATGTATAGTATATGTACTGTACTGTATATGTACTAAAAATTCAACTTATAGAATGACCAGATTCTCATTCAGTCAAATATTTGAACTCAATAAAATGGTCTAAATGATACAGAAAAGTTTAAAAATATCTCAAAAAGATAAGATTGCATAAGGTGTTGGCTCTACTTTGCTTGTTTGTAAACTGCAGTTGATAAGGCAAGCTACCAACCATGTCTCTTATATCAGTTCAATATAGAATTAAGACACTTCAGAGCTTATACCAGTCATAAGGTAAGTCTTGTACCTTCTTTAGTTCACAAATTTCTAAGTTGATCAACTAAGTTAATACATATAATATTCAAATGTCACACAATAAACTTTTTCAGAGTTAAACATAAATAAACTTGAAAAGTTCATTGACCAGTTACACATGTATTCAGTATGTTGAAAATCGAATTGTATCACATAAGGAATAGCATTTATATAATTTTTACTTACGTGTCTTATTCGTAACTTCCCGTTATTTGTAAATTGAACTGTTCTTGTTGAAGCAACTGGCTGTGTATGGACCCAAGTTGCGTTTATAAATGATAGAGCAAGCTTGTAGATCATATACATGTATTTATGTAGATATTTAATTATTATTCATTATAAACTGCGAACAGGTGACGGTATATTTGAAATATGTATATACGAAATGTAAATGTAATAAAGTTAAGTTCAGATATATCTATTACAATATATATTTTAATTAGTTTTAGTTTCAGGTTAGCAAATGTAATGTACATAACACTGGTATTAATATTAAAAGCTACGTGAATATGGATAACAAATTCCATCCTACACCCTTAACAAGATATTTGTGTTGAAACTTTTAAAATACAAAGTTTTGAAATATGCATGGCCGAGCTGTTAACGCATCGGACTAGTAATTTAAGGATCTCTTGTCGAGTTAGTTCAAACCCTGCCATTGTTTCCTTGAACCAGAAACTTAACACTCATTCCTTAGTACTGTTTGGTTCAAGGAATTGATTCGAGAGTATATATACAGGCTAAATGCTTCGCACAAATCAAACCAAAATAAACTCTGTATATTAAACTAAATACACACCCGTTTTCTTGACGTACTTGTTTGGCTTATCTGAAGGCATTAAGCTTTAAAGTTATAGCAGGGCAAAACTTTTATATCTTTACCAAGTTGGTATAACTTGGAGCAAAATATTTATCATTCATGTAGTTACATGTAAAAATATGAACCTGGTTGTGTTTATTTATCTAACATTGACATTTTATGTAAAACAAAGTAAATAAATAAATAAATAAATAATCGTACATGGGAGAGACGCCTTATTGAAACACATGCGATACTGTACATAGCAGAACAGAATTAAATATTAGTGTAAAATAAGCGTTGTTGACAACAGGTTGCAGTCTGTGAAAAAGTTTTATGTTCAACTTTCCTATAAATGAATGATCTTTTTGCTGATATCTTTAACTCTTTGCTGATATCTTTAACGTCAACGTGTATGAAAACCGATTAGGTAAATTCTGCATAAGGCTCTGAACGGGCCCATGGACTGTGACTTGCAGTATACATTGTCGTCCACAAATAGCCAAAATCAAACTGAACCTTCGACAATTTCATCTTTGATGCACTTAGTTTTGTTTTGTTCACTTATAAGCGTGAATTTATATTGGCGGTGGAAAGAGGGAGGTGGTATTTTACTCATTTATTTGTCTGAAAGCGCGTTTCATCATTTGTGGTATACATTTTGCGAGCGTACCTACTGTTCAATCAACATCTTGTCATTTTCATTACAATGGATTATTGTTACTTATCTGGTACATTACCACATTACCACCAAAAGCGTTTTCAAATTTACAATATGATTCAATATATTTATTTCGCTTTCACTTTAAACATTTGAAACATTTAACATTTTAATGAGGTCATGGCTACATTGGAACGTATTCATTTTAATTTTGGTTTTAATATTTTGTCCCATGTAAAATACAAATCCTTTTCAATAATGATTCAGGCTCCAAAAAATATAAAGAAAACAGTTTATATGATTATAATTTATTTACAATTACCCTCTGAAATGAAACATAATTTATAGTTTCAAATAAAATCTTATAATGATATAAAACAGCTTGCAAACGTTTCTAAAGGTATATAAACAATACACAAGAATACTAGAACTATAAAAAGCTTTCAAGGTAAATGTTAAAATACTATACAAATAATGTTTTAATATGCAGATTAAATATTGAATTATATACAAAAACTGAGCAAAGTTGATAGTATGTCAACAAATAGATCGCGTTATTAACGCAGTAAATGTTGAACAATGTACTGAATATTATGACAGGACTTTCGGGTGATTCTAAATTCAAAATGTCACCATTTTTATGTTTAAATCTGCCGGTGCTAGGGGGAGCAGGCTCATTCAAACTGAGCCTGCAACATTTTTATTTTGTCGTTTTTAGCGTTCTTCGGGGAATGAATTATTACCTATTTAGTTTTAATTAATACTAGCGTCCATGACCAGGCTCAATAAATCGATCCTGCAACATTTTCAATGTTGTCATTTTTTCTGGCGTTAAGTAGGAATTCTGAGTACCTAATGCTAAGCTAATTCTGTAATGAATGATGTAATGAAACAACATTTTAATTCATCTGAATTTAGGAGTCGTTTATCATTTAATGAAGCGAATAGGATTATAAACTGTAGATATAGCTTGATTTCATTATTGGTTTAAACTCAAAATATAAAAATAATTAATCCATCCCTCGCAATAAAGTATGGGACATGATATATTTATTTACAAAAAATACCTGTATGTTTCATAATTATGATACTATTAATAATAATTTTATGATTTTATCTAAAATAAGACTCAATTCTTGAAATACTTAAGTTATCTGTACATTCACCTAGAAAACCTTATCTCAAAGGCAAATATATATATAATATATATAAAGTCTATGTTCTTTTCTCCACAATGACCTTGTATGGAAGGTATTCCACTGCAAAAGATCCAGTTTGTTCCATATTCGGGCACTTTCCAGACATCATTTTCCACTTGTAGCGTTGCATCAAACTTGCAAAGATCAAATGGAGTTCTGGTTTCGCTACAAATTCCCCAAGACAAACTCTCTTTCCCGCCGAAAATGGCAACCAATTCTTTGGTTTGGGTCCAAGTTTACCGTTTTCGTCCAAGTATCTTTCTGGAATGAATCGTTCGACCTCTTCCCATGCATCTGGGTCGTTGTGCAATGCGTAGTGGTTGATGTTCACTGCTGTTCCTTTTGGAATTCTGTAACCTCCTGCAAATATAATGCAAAATAAACCTGCATGAAATAGAAAAACAGAAATAAATACAACAATATTTCTAAAATGATTTTGATTTACTTTTGACAGTGTGATCTTGTCAGAATAGTATTTGTCTAATTATACACTGTTGAATACAAAACATACTCAGTCTGTATTATATCGGTTGAGTACACAATTCTATTTTATTGATCTAGTACAAAGCTTCCAAACTGTTATTGAATCACTGGGCAAGTAGCACAATAGTGTTTTGATACCAAATTAAAATAGTTGACAAAAATGACGGTGCACCATTGTATGGTCCTTCTTTTCTTCTAGTCCTGAAACCATTTAAATGACTGTAAGAAGAAAGTTAAAGAACATTTATGCTTTTTTATGTAGTAGAAAAAAGAACATAATGTGTATTAATTATCGCTCACCAACTTCAGTGTCACAGATAGTCATGTGTTGCACCCCTAAAGGAACAACTGTTGATAGACGCATACTTTCATGTAAAACAGCTTCTGTGTAACTCAGATTTGGACGGTCATCAATTCCTGGTAGCCTGTCCTTGCCTATAACACAAGAACAAAAAAGCAAAAAAAATATGAACACAAATTTTTACATTAAATAATATTTTTTACTGAATCAATTAAAGTGCCGATGTGCAGTTATATACATACAATCACAAGGAGCCATTAGAGAGAGTGACTGATAAAATGGCGATGTAAACGATGAACCTTACTCTGTTATACATTTATATCAATAATATAACATTTAAACCTTTTTGTATTTTAATATGCACACAAGAATTGGAAAAAGGTTTCCTTATCCTATAGAGTGCAATAATTGTGTTGAAATTCAAAGTTTATTATCTAAACCAGAAACCAGACATTCGATATCCATGTTAAAACATAATGTAAATTCATCAACTTCTACAATAATTATATGTTTAAAACTACAAACATAATCACTGACAATCCCAGAACCAAGTCTGCAATTTTCATTTATTTACTACTTTTTCCATTGCTCTCGAGGAATTTCTCGTTTTCTAGATTTTAGTTTGAGTTGCCCCGTACTCTATTGTTAGTGTTTTATTTTTGTCTTGTCAGTCTGGGTCAGTGATTCCAATACATTAAGTGCAGAGCATTGACTACTGATACATTTTAAAGATGCACCTCCCATATTTTCTTTAGAAACATGCTCAATCAAATCGAGTCTGGTAATGAAAAAATCTTACCAACGACCCTGTCTATTTCCTCTTGAACCTTTTCTTGTATATCAGGAAAGGCCACCATGTGAAGAATTGCACCTTTCAGTGTGTACCTCGTTGTGTCTATACCAGCTGAAATATATACAACAATTGACCATAAAATTAACAAATCCATTTTTTCTTCCCACTTTTTCAATTGTGAAAGAAACAAAGGGTCATAACTCTGTCAAAATAAGGACCTCACAAAGCCCTGACAGTAATTGCATGGACACTAAGTGACAACAGTGAGTTTTGTCATTTTTGGTCATGAAGAAGCTATCTATTTTGCTTCATGAACGCTGGTGGTTCCACTCGTGGTCAACACAAAATGATACCTGAATTCTTTCTCTAAGCTTGAAACGTCACAGCATGAGCTTAACAGCGTCTTTAATGCCAAACATATAAAAATAAAGGCATTTACCAAAGAAAATGTCCCCTAGTGTTTGAAGTAGGTGCTCATCGGTGAAAACACTTTTTACATCTACACCCTCTTCTTCGGCCTCCTTCCGAGCTAATAGAAGTGTGTCAGTAAAATGACGTACGTTATCTGGGTAATATAAAGAAGATATAGTAAAATTTTGTGTATTATCTTGAATTTCAATCAAATATTCAGTGATTTAAAGTGAATTCTTTGGTGTCCATTTCTGACCTACAAATGCCAGTATTTTATCTAGATTGTGAATATACATGCAGTAAAGTAACGCAAGTTATTTTTTATTCAGTAAAGTGGCATTTAAGTGTCTTATAATTATAATATTCAGTAAAGTGACACATGTTACATGTATCTGGGTATTATATAGAATATTCAGTGTTGTAGTATCGCCTCTTTACCAAACTATGGAATGCAATAATCTCAATGCTTTTAAGAAAATGTATAACATTTCACAAAACTATACTTAGTTGGAGAATAATTTGGTTAGTTTAAAAAAGAAAGTATGTTTTCTTAAGGTTGTATTCATGGTAATTGATGCTACTTAAATGTCTGTGAGTTTGGAACCTCTGTTAGTCAAAAGTCCAAGTTGCTGAATTAAGGTCATTGGTTCTACCAACGACTTAAATAATGCTAATTCCGCACCTGACATATACTTCAATCAATTTAGCTTGAAAGATCTTTGCAAATAATTGAAAGTATACTAACTGCAGACTTATATTTAAGCCGCGTCATGACAAAACCAACATAATGGGTTTGCGACCAGCAGGGATCCAGACCAGCCTGCGCGTCCGCGCAGTCTGATCAGGATTCATGCTGTTCGTTTACCAATTTTATTACAAGTAAAGAATCTGATAGCGAACAGCATGGATCCTGATCAGACTGCGCGGATGCGCAGGCTGGTCTGGATCCATGCTGGTCGCAAACCCATTATGTTGGTTTTGTCATGACACGGCTCATATTTCATTTTACCTTTATCAAATGTTTCTTCTGCCTCCTTCAATTTCTTTGAAAAGTAGAGGTCAAACACCTCCTTGGTAAATTCTTCTAGAAACTTTGTGATATCGGATTTGTAAACATATCTCAGTCCCGGGACGAAATCTTCAATAGCTCCGATTCCAAACCTTTGCAGGAAAATATCTTCTTTCTCAAGCATATAGTGTACTTCTTTGTCTTGAAAAGTGTACCTTTCGTTAAAATGAAATGACAATTTATGAACTAAGTTATATCAAAAATTTGTGTCACTGTAGGACAGCATGCTTGACTACTAGTATTCTCTGTGCTTGAGAGTCTTGGTAATGTTCGAATTAAGAATGAGAAAAGATGTCATTCAATTCGAAAGTGCATGTCATAGCAATAAGTCTCGGCTATTGACCATGGAATTATGTCCACATAGGGTATTTGTTCAAAGAATTAGCCAGAATTACAGCTTTTGCAAAGTGCCCTCGACATCATAAATTACGTTTCAAGTAAATATCATCATTGGTGTTTTGAACTAAAGACCTGTAAGTTCACAAATGGCCACAATGAAGTTAATTTCCATGGAAAAATGGGCCTCGGATAATTACCTTTAATTATGATCTTAAAGATCTGGATAAAGTTTCCAGTGAAAAAACTTAAGTAGTATTGCTAACTGTTGTTCCATTTAAAGCTTTAGTCAAGAACTTTCTAAGTTCACAACGGAACGTATGATTAAAATATACATGTAATTAGTTCACAGTTTAAGTGACCGATGAGATAAGATTTGTACAAAAAATTGCCACAGTGTGACGTCAACGCTGACGTTGAAGCCAAAGCCAAGGTGAGAATGATAGCTTGATAATTCTTAGAAAAGTCTAGCTAAATGTTTGATATTATATAAGGTAATACTGCAGTGAGCCACCCAGATAAAGTAAAATGTATATAACAAAAATATAAATACATGTGCAGTGAATTTTAAATTAGTAAACATACTTTCCACCGAAACATAATCCAGTGAGAATATTGCCCACTATATAATTCAGGTATTCTGAAGGATCAAACTCTTCTTTTACTTTGTCCATCTCAACAAACGCTGTCTCCATGGCGTCATGAACACGCAGTTGTAAAGCGTCACCTTTCATGTAATGACTGTAAATAGTGTGTATAAACAGTAATTGTAATGTCTGCTATAACATAGTTACTGGACAAGCATGGGAAGAGAGATTAAACAACGCAGCCGTCTGGTTTTTAAATCTATTTACTAATGATACTACAGAGTGGTGATGCCAGGTGAATTTAGGCGGGGCTTATCAGCTAGTGGCTAATACTAGTTGACCAAAAGCAAGTCAGTATATTACAGTAACCAAACGTAAAAGCAAATATTTAACTATTCATCGTTTTTATATATGTGTACAGATTTTTTTATATTGTTTGTTATTATATTGACCAGAGACTGGTCGAATTCGGGAGCTTTTTTTTCATACATGTATGAAAGCTTCCGTTTGCCATTACGATTAACGTATTGAATTTTAATTAAACGATCTTATGTGAAATTCATAAGATTTCTATAGAAGATAAGAAAGTTAGAAAAAAAAACACTTCTTTTTAAGTTTTTACCGTAAAGCTTGTGTCGCAATTTTCCTATGGAGTTTCCACGTTGAGTTGTACGTGCTGAAAACAATATCCTTCCCTCCGTATGTAAATAAGTCAACTTAAATAGAAAACGTAAATATCAAATAAACAACAGTTTATCCGAGCATGTTATCAGTTTACAAATTAAATAAAATGTGTAAACGAAAAAAAATCTAGGGCTTCTGTAAAATAATAATTTGCCTATCTTCAATATATAGAGTAAGTCGGTGACAACACATTTCAATTTCTATTTGCACAATTAGCTGAAATTTATTTTCATCATATTAGATTTTATTTTTGTATAAAATGGTTGAATTGACATAGCACTCCTTTGTTGACACACTGCATGAATGAGATGTCATTAGTAAAGTACGAAAATTGAACAGATTTCGTCGCTGATTGGTACATGTAGTTTATACTTTATATCAGTAACGACGACTCGTCTTCATTTTTCCATGTTTAAGCAGCATGCCTCCAGATTAATGCTAAGGTTCACGAAAATTTTGAAAATGTGTTTGAAAGTATAATACTGTGAAAAGACCAAAGAAAAAAATTCACACATTGCAAAAAGCACTTACAATCCACGTAAATTACCAAAAAAAGAGGTCAAAATATGCATAAATACCTCAGACTGCGTTAGTAACGCAGTAGAATTTTAGTGACTGATACTGCAAAATCATTCATAAGTCGCACATAACATATGAATAATTAATTAAATATTGAATCTTTTGACTTTTTTATACCTTAATACATTTTTCTAAAGATTGAATTTCTTGACATATTTCGGCCCATCTGGAGGCCTGCAGCTTTAAATTTTAGTCGATTGTAGTTTGCCTTAAATGCAGTCGTTCATGAATGAACTAGTTAATAATAAAACCGTTTCGCTTCCTTTCAGATTTATATTTTAAACTAGTATATCGATTTTCATTGTAAAATAAATTTATACATGTATATCATATGCATGAATATTGACATTTTATTCTTATTGACAATGTAAATCGAAATCAAAATTAGTTAAAACATTTTACCTCATACTCTTTGTCAATAGAATAGCACATATTAATTAGTATGTGATTCTTAAACAAGGGTGCCATAGTCACAAAATACGCCCGTTTACGAAAGCTTTAGATGGAGATGGGGGCATTATGGATAAGTGTTATCTAGCAAGCAAGTTTTTATTCTTGGCACTGGGTTGTTAAATGAACCTTAATACAAATCAGTAAGATATGCACAGGATGTGTGACCTTGACCTTGGTTGCAGGGACCTTAATTTTATGCACGGCACTCAGCCTCACAATGATGAACATTTGTGCCAAATTATATTGAAATCCCTCTATGCATGTAGAAGTTTTGCTCCAGACAAGCGTTTTTCTATGAGCTCTAACTGTGACCTTCACCTTTGACCTAGAGACTTGGTTCATGTGCAGGGCACTACGTCTCATGGTGGTGAACAATTCTATAAAGTAACATTAAAATTCCTCCATGCATGTACAAAATATGGACAACATCTAGATATTTAATCATCTCCAGTGACCTTGACCTTGCAAATATTAACCTAAATTAAATGTGTCACACCTGTAGTCATGATAGTTACCATTTGTGCTGCAATCCATCAATAAATGATGACTAGATGGTCCCTAGACACATCTTCAAATTTTTATCTGAACTTTGACCTCTATGTTTAACCTTGACTTTGGTCGCAGGGATCTGAATTTTGCGTGCAACACTCAGCCTCACAATGGTGAACATTTGTGCCAAGTTATATTGAAATCCCCTTATGAATGTAGAAGTTTTACTCCGGACAAGCGTTTTTCAATGAGCTCTAAGTGTGAACTTGACCTTTGACCTGGAGACCTGGATCATGCATGGAGCAATACATATCATGGTGGTGAACATTTCCATAAAGTTTTATAAAAATTCTTCCATACATGTAGGAGATATGCTCCAGACAAAATCTGGATATTTCACCATCTTTAGTGACCTTGACCTTGCATATATTGACCTAAAGTACATGTGTCACAGCCGTAGTCATGATAATGACCATTTGTGTTACAATCCCTCAATAAATGATGATTAAATCGTCCCTATACACATCTTCATATTTTATCTAAACTTTGACCTCTACGTGTGACCTTGACCTTCGCTGCAGGGACCTGAATTTTGTGCGCGACACTCCGCCTCACAATGGTGAACATTTGTGCCAAGTTATAATGAAATCCCTCTATGCTGCGATGATGTGGAAGTTTTGCTCCGGACAAGCGTTTTTCAATGAGCTCTAAGTGTGACCTTGATCTTTGACCTAGAGACCTAGTTCATGTGCGTGACATGGCTTCTCATAATGGTGAACATGTATATGAAATTTCATTAAAATCCCTCCATGCGTGAAGGAGTTATGCTCCGGACAAAATCTCACAATGTTGAACATTTGTGCCAAGTAAAATTGAAATCCCTCTATACATGTGGAAGTTTTGCTCCGGACAAGCATTTTTCAATGAGCTCTAAGTGTGACCTTGACCTTTGACCTAGAGACCTGGTTCATGTGCGCGACACTGCTCCTCATAGTGGTGAACATTTCTATGAAATTTCATTAAAATCCCTCCATACATGTAGGAGATATGCTCCGGACAAAATTGGACGCCTTTCGGATATTTCATCATCTTCAGTGACCTTGACCTTGTATATATTGACCTAAATTATATGTATCACAGCCATAGTCTTGATAATGACCATTTGTGTTACAATCCCTCAATAAATGATGACTAAATGGTCCATATACACATCTTCATATATTTATCTGAACTTTGACCTCTATGTGTGACCTTGACCTTGGCCGCAAGGAAATGAATCTTGCGCGCGACACTCCGCTTTACAATGGTGAACATTTGTGCCAAGTAATATTGAAATCCCTCTATACATGTGGAATTTTTGCTCCGGACAAGCATTTTTCAATGAGCTCTGAGTGTGAACTTGACCTTTGACCTAGAGACCTGGTTCATGTGCGCGACACTGCTCCTCATAGTGGTGAACATTTCTATGAAGTTTCATTAAAATCCCTCCATACATGTAGGAGATATGCTGCGGACAAAACTTGACGCCGCCCGCCCGACCGCCAGGGGCGTTCCCATAATAGAATATGTCCCGTTTTTCAAACGGGCGTATAAAAAGATCAATTAATTTACTTAATTATATAACCGTCAGAATGAATTTTAAAAGTACATACGTGATGGAGTCAACATACGCCCAGCAAAATCTGTAGACTTCTTTACAAGTACTTCTAAGGCAGTGTCAATCGTATTCACAACTACCATCGAGATAGGACCTAATAAATGTTATATATCCAGGGCTACAGATAACAGGGGTATTTGCATTATTACCCAATTAATATGTAAAAAACCCCAATAGAAATAATAACTAAGGGTGAGAAAAAGTAAATAAATTCTTATTTATGCAAAGGAGATTGGAACTGGTGGGTAAAGACGTAAGTTATACTTAACGCCGTACATCAGGTAGATCATACTGTTTCAGACTTTTTTAACCTTTGAATTATATCAGGCAGCTTGGAAATCTCATAGGCCAATAAACCATAAAGGATAGTAGTAAGTAGCTTTTCTATGACCATACAAAACATACAACAGTTAGAAATTTTTGGTAAAACACATAAACTTGTGCCTTAAAACCCAAATTGGTTAGAGAGGGTAGGGTAAAAAATACAGAAATAACTCTAAGAAAATAGGAAAAACCCAATAGATCACAAAACAAGGGGTAATCACTCAATATATACAAAATGTTATCTGTAGCCCTGTATATCCAATATTATATATTATTACCCCTCACTTTTTTCGTAATGCTAATTTCCCATAGGCCTCTGGGAGTTATTTTTACTGTTAATGCAAGTGTACCACGTGACTAAAAATTTTGTACTGTTACATAGGTAACAGTATTTTTTAAGCGGTCACGTGGTCTATTTCCTAAATAAAATGAAATAAAATGGCCGCCATTTTTTTTCTCGATTCATTCTTATTTTCAACGTTTAACCCCGATAGGACATCAATTTCTCCTCTGGAGTCCCTATGACACTCATAAAATTTAGTTGTTTGCACCCTGGTGTGCTTTTCGCGTATAAAATATCTTTTTGCTCAATAGTCAAAAAGTGAACATCCGTTTTCAAAAAACAACGAAAGTGATTGCAATGTAAATAATTATGTGTCAAACTGGAACATCCAGAAGATTTAAGCATGCAACAAAGGATTATTTAACAAATTTAATCAGTGAAACGTTACAGATATGGTAGACATAGGATATCATCGTAATTTTGTCAAAAACCATGCTAAGAATATTCTGGAAACCGAAGGATCAGATTTCACAGATCATAACCGTGTAAATGGGTTAGTGTTTTGTTTCCTAAATAAAACCTAGCTTATTGTATGTTTATGGTTTGTAGATATCATCACACGCTTAAAGAATAAAAGAAAAAGAAAACTTCTCAAGTAGGCATACAGTAAAGTACACTTAAAACTTAAAAGGTAAGGAAGGACAGTTTAGTTATTGTTACTCTTGGTTTATTTTTGTTACAGTTAGATTTAGTTGACAATTTCAGATCATCTCAGTATTTTTGTTCGGGGTAATAAAATAAATAACACATGGGTTTGTGAGTAACAGTAAAAATATCATCCCTCGTAAAAATACTGTTACCCTCGGCTACGCCTCGGGTAACAGTATTTTTCTCGGGATGATATTTTTACTGTTACCCACAAACACATGTGTTATTTATATAATATCGAAGATTGATTATAAATTGAAGACAACAGTAAATGCGATATTTTTACAAAATAACATTGATGATGACGACGACGGCGATGATGATGATGATGATGATAATAATTATGATTCTTACGAAAGTGATGATGGAGGTGATCGATGATGACGATGATGGTTATGATGATAATGATGATACTCATGATGATGATAGAAAAAGAAGAAGATGATAATGATGACGATGATGATGATTGTGATGCTGGAGAATGTAATGTCGATGATGATGATAATGATTATGATGATGGCAAAGATGATGATCATGATGATGATGTAAAAATAAATGATGAAACTTTTGTATGAATAAGGGAAAAAAATCTATGCCGACTCATTTAAGTTATTGTTTAAATTCTTAATTAAGGGAAGACAAAAATAGGCTATTAAAGCCACTTACATTAGTGAAAGTACATAAAATAGACAAACTAAATGGCTACAGTAAGTTGCGAAAGTACATTTATTCTAGATACCCGAGATAATGGAAAATAATATATAAATGATTTACCTGTGCGAACGGTTATCACAGGGCCATATTTCTTCGACCATTCAAACGCCTGTTTATGGAATCCGTTCTGGTTGATTTCTAGAAAAAGGAAAATGGTTGAAAAATATACAATCAAGATTTTTCTCAGTCAGCATGCAAATTTAAACAAAAATGTATGCATTTTTTTCGCGCATCAAATATCTTTTTGTTGAATAGTCAAAAAGTAAACATCCGTTTTCAGTAACTACAATATGAATAAAAGCGGAACATGCAGACGATTAAAGCAAGCAACAAAGGATTTTTAACAAGTTTAATCAGTTATGGTAGACAGACATAGGATATCATCGTTATTTTGTAAATACACTTGTCATAATGTCATAAACCATGCGAAGAGTATTCTGGGTACATAAGGGTCAGATTTCACAGATCATAACCGTATAAATGGGTTTGTGTTTTGTTTTCTAAACAAAACACAGCTTATTGTATGTTTCTGACTGGTAGATATCATCACTTGCTTAAAGAATAAAAGAAAAACAAGAGGGCCATGATGGCCCTGAGGTCGCTCACCTGTATATAGCCCCCCCCCCCACCCCCGGGCCAATTTTTACCCAAGGCTTTTATTTGTTTATTTGAACAGACTTGGTAGACACCCATAAGAAGATGTTTCATGCTAAACATCTAAGTTCTAGCTCATTGGGTTTTTTAAAAGAAGATTTTTAAAGTTTTTACTATACACATATAGTAAAAACAATGACACCCCTGGGGCAGGGCCAGTTTTAACCCCCGGGCTTTTATTTTGAACAAACTTAGTAGATATTTACTTAAAGATGTTTCATGCTTAATATCTAAACTCTAGCTATTTGGGTTTTTTCAAAGAAGATTTTTAAGTTTTTGCCAAACACATATAAGGAAAATCAATGACCCGCCGGGCGGGGCCAGTTTTGACCCCAGGGCTTTTATTTGAACATACTTGGTAGACACCCATTAGAACATGTTTCATGCTAAATATCTTAGCTCTAGCTTATTAAGTTCTTTAAAAGAAGATTTTTTAAGTTTTTACTATAATATGCATATAGGGAAAATCAATGACCCCCTGGGGCGGGGCCAATTTTGACCCCAGGGCTTTTATTTGAACAAACTTGGTAGACACTCATTAGAAGATGTTTCATGCTAAATATCTTAGCTCTAGCTCTTTGGGTTCTTTAAAAGAGGATTTTTTAAGTTTTAACTATATGCATATAGGGAAAATCTATGACCCCCTGGGGCGGGGTCAATTTTGACCCTAGGGCTTTAATTTGAACAAACTTGGTAGACACTCACTAGAAGATGTTTCATGCCAAATATCTAAGCTCTAGCTCTTATGGTTCTTTAAAAGAAGATTTTTTAAGTTTTTACTATATGCATATAGGGAAAATCAATGACCCCCCCCGGGGCGGGGCCAATTTTGACCCCAGGGCTTTAATTTGAACAAACTTGGTAGACACTCACTAGAAGATGTTTCATGCTTAATATCTTAGCTCTAGCTCTTTGGGTTCTTTAAAGGAAGATTTTTTAAGTTTTTACTATATGCATATAGGGAAAATCAATGACCCCCTGGGGCGGGGCCAATTTTGACCCCAGGGCTTTTATTTGAACAAACTTGGTAGACATTCACTAGAAGATGTTTCATGATCAATATCTAAGCTCTACCTCTTACGGTTCTTTAAAAGAAGATTTTTTAAGTTTTTACTATATGCATATAGGGAAAATCAATGACCCCCTGGGGCGGGGCCAATTTTGACCCCAGGGCTTTTATTTGAACAAACTTGGTAGACACTCACTAGAAGATGTTTCATTGCCAAATATCTAAGCTCTAGCTCTTAGGGTTGTTTAAAAGAAGATATTTAAAGATTTTTCTTTCGGTTGCCATGGCAACCAGAGTTCTGCATGGAATTAAATTCTTTGAACAATTTTTAAAGGTGACCACCAAAGGAACATTCCTGTGAAGTTTGGATGAAATTGGCTCAGTGGTTTATGAGGAGATGTCATTTAAAGCAAAAGTTTACGGACGGACGACGGACGACGGACGGACGACGGACGGACGGACGCCGGACGAAAAGCGATCACAAAAGCTCACCCTGTCACTTTGTGACAGGTGAGCTAATAACTTCTCAAGCAGGCCTACAGTACACTTAAAACGTGCAAGGTAAGGACAGTTTAGTTATTGTTACTCTTGGTTTAATTTTGTTACGGTTAGATTTACTTGACAATTTCAGATCATCACAAGATAACGCCTCGGGTAACAGTATTTTTCTCGTGATGATACTTTCACTGTCCAATGTGTTTAATATATACTGTTCAGTAGGATAAAATAGATAACAAGAACTGTCGGAGGACAGTAACGCTCGACTATTCAAAAATTTGTCACAAGGGTGTTTCATTGAGTATAATAATGCTTACCTATATGAATACATAAAATTGTACGAAAAGGTACAAACCCTTCAAGTTTCAATACAATCACAGAGAACAAGTGTGTGAAGTTTCAATCCATTCCCTTCAGTAGTTATGGAGATACCAGCTTACACACAAAAACTTAACCACGAATTTATGAATTGAACAAGGGGCATAATTATGTAAAAAAGCAAATAAGAGTTATGGGACTTGTGCCAATCATCTTAGATAATCACAGAGAACAAGTGTGTGAAGTTTCAATCCATTCCCTTCAGTAGTTATGGAGATACCAGCTTACATACAAAAACTTAACCAAGAATTTCTAAGTCGAAAAAGGGGCATTTTTATGTAAAAAGCAAATCAGAGTTATGGGACTTGTGCCAATCATCTAAGATAATCGCAGAGAACAAGTGTGTGAAGTTTCAATCCATTCCCTTCAGTAGTTATGGAGATACCAGCTTACACGCAAAAACTTAACCAAGAATTTCTAAGTCGAAAAAGGGGCATAATTATGTAAAAAAGCAAATCAGAGTTATGGGACTTGTGCCAATCATCTAAGATAATCACAGACACAGAAAACAAGTGTGTGAAGTTTCAATCCATTCCCTTCAGTAGTTATGGAGATACCAGCTTACACGCAAAAACTTAACCAAGAATTTCTAAGTCGAAAAAGGGGCATAATTATGTAAAAAAGCAAATCAGAGTTATGGGACTTGTGCCAATCATCTAAGATAATCACAGAGAACAAGTGTGTGAAGTTTCAATCCATTCCCTTCAGTAGTTATGGAGATACCAGCTTACATACAAAAACTTAACCAAGAATTTCTAAGTCAAAAAAGGGGCATAATTATGTAAAAAAGCAAATCAGAGTTATGGGACTTGTGCCAATCATCTTAGATAATCACAGAGAACAATTGTGTGAAGTTTCAATCCATTCCCTTCAGTAGTTATGGAGATACGCGCTTACATACAAAAACTTAACCAAGAATTTCTAAGTCGAAAAAGGGGCATAATTATGTAAAAAAGCAAATCAGAGTTATGGGACTTGTGCCAATCATCTTAGATAATCACAGAAACAAGTGTGTGAAGTTTCAATCCATTCCCTTCAGTAGTTATGGAGACACTAGCTTACATACAAAAACTTAACCAAGAATTTCTAAGTCGAAAAAGGGGCATAATTGTGTAAAAAAGCAAATCAGAGTTATGGGACTTGTGCCAATCATCTTAGATAATCACAGAGAACAAGTGTGTGAAGTTTCAATCCATTCCCTTCAGTAGTTATGGAGATACCAGCTTACATACAAAAACTTAACCACAGGGACGCCGACGCCGACGCCGACGCCGACGCCGACGCCGACAAATGGGTGACTGCATTAGCTCGATTATTCTACGAATAGTCGAGCTAAAAAATGTGTTTTATTTAAAGCGAAAAGAAAAATGAAAAAAATAAAGAAAAAATACGAACGCAATGCATTTCCAATGAGTGGCAGTCCAGGGGGTCCCGGTGGATACTTATATTTCCATTTTTGTACCATCCAGTACGCCAGAAGTCCGACAACCAGTCCGACCAGGCACGTGCTAGTCACTGATCCGGAAACTATAAACCCTAGCATTGCCCTTAAGAAAAAAAGGAAACATGACTGGGCGCATTTACACAAGAATAAATTGCATTATATTTCTGCCCGCGGTATTTAAAAACCTATACATTCACTCAGTTACAATCGGTTTAAATTTGAAACAGTTAACGTTACGCAAATTTCCAATATGCAATTTCAAAATTTCTGAAACAGATATCAGGAAAAAAACTTACTCTGTTTAGTACTTTTCTCCTATCTTGTGCCCTTTCCCTTTTCGTTTAGAATGTAAACCCTGAAAGAAAACATCCAATATCAATTTATTAATATATTGTTTTTGCCACTTGGAAAGTTAGAATATGTGATACCGCGCCCCATTCCAAACTCGGTAAAAATACACTGATATATAACTGATGCACAAACTTAAATGTTATATATATATCATTTGGGTCAATTTTTCTATATATATGAGTCAATGAAAACCAGCACGATTTTTAAATCCTCGTTGAAAGTATACTGGATAAAATGGGTTAGAAAAGAACAAAGAAAAATCCCTAACAATGCGATAAACATGAGTTGGTCAGTCTCATTTGTCATCCAATGAAAACGCCGTTGTTGTGGTGTTTTAAATGACAATAGAAAAACAAAAGTCAAATATCAAATACCTTTCATAGTCGCCTTCTATTTTTCATTGTGTTTCATAGAAATAGTAGTTAATAATAATGAAGCCAAAACAAACTTGACACTCTAGCATGTTAATAAGTATTCATCCGTCTCTGTTCTACAGAAATTAGAAACTTTTTCCGCCGTTGAAGTTTCTAATTTCTGTAGAACAGAACGTATTAACTAATTTTTTTTAGGGCGCTCGACATCCAAATGATCGCCGGGTCATGGTCCTATAATCTCACAGGTAAGCCAGATAATAACGTAAATGTGCAAGTTTACACATCGTATCGTGTTCTATATTTGAATAACATCAAAAGTAGTTCGTGTCCTATATTTATTTAACCAATTTGTGGCTAATATTAAGGTCCCTTTTTGACCAAAATTAATGTGATGATAAAACATTAAATCTAAACTGTAATTAAAAAGACATTTGTTTCACAATCTACACAGATATTAAGTATATGTTAGTGTTCATCCACGTGTCGTTCTACAGAAATTAGAGACTTCGATCGAAAAAATTAACACACATAATTTTGACGAAATACAGCGTTTCCATTGAATGACAAATATAGCTGGACAATAACAATTATTATACATATTTGATTTAATACTTATATTTTTCATAATTATATATTTTAACAAAATTTTTTCTTTTAAAATATTCTGGAATTAAAAACAAATATATTTTCCATAACAAAATCAATATCAAAGATGGTAAAAACAACTAGATCTACTCACAGTTTTTCCCGTTTTATTCGTCCTGTTATAAAGCCACGTTATATTATCGACGTATTTATCTAACCTCTAACAAATATCAGCGGCGTTACATACTGTTTATACAGAACAGATAGTATAGTCCATTTCAATATACTACACGACGGTTTAAAAACTATAAAGCATTCAAGTTAACATTAAACCATGAGAATTATTGCGAATACATAAAGTTATATAGAATCTAAAAACGGACTATACCGTTTACCAACACAAAGGGGTGAACATCTTAGGAGTAATTGGGACGTACCGGGTTTTTTTCTTATATAATAAGTTAATCAAATTGCGGGAGGTGCGAGGTTTAACATTTCTAGGACATCGATGGAAATTTAATGCTTAATCAGGAAAAAACCGCAAGTAACCATAATTACAAAAAAGTTAATTTAATAATTATGGAACGCGTTTAAATATGTTTTCGTGAATAAAACATCGCACATACAAACAATATGTAATAGTTATAGTCTATATGAAATGAGTAAGTTACGAGTACTGTACACACAATATGTTAGTTATCGTATGTATGAAACGAGCTAGTTACGAGGATATTTAACACTGGCTGGGCGGCATCGAGGGATGTTTCTGACGAGGATATTTAACACTGGCTGGGGCGGCATCGAGGGGTGTTTCTGAAACGAGTTAGTTACGAGGATATTTAACACTGGCTTGGCGGCATCGAGGGGTGTTTCTGAAACGAGTTAGTTACGAGGATATTTAACACTGACTGGGGCGGCAACGAGGGGTGTTTCTGAAACGAGTTAGTTACGAGGATATTTAAAACTGGCTGGGGCGGCATCGAGGGGAGTTTCTGAAACGAGTTAGTTACGAGGATATTTAACACTGGCTGGGGCGGCATCGAGGTGTGTTTTCTGAAACGAGTTTAGTTACGAGGATATTTAACACTGACTGGGGCGGCATCGAGGGGTGTTTCTGAAACGAGTTAGTTACGAGGATATTTAAAACTGGCTGGGGCGGCATCGAGGGGTGTTTCTGAAACGAGTTAGTTACGAGGATATTTTAACACTGGCTGGGGCGGCATCGAGGGATGTTTCTGAAACGAGTTAGTTACGAGAATATTTAACACTAGGTGGGCGGCATCGAGGGGTGTATCTGAAACGAGTTAGTTACGAGGATATTCAACACTGACTGGGGCGGCATCGAGGGGTGTTTCTGAAACGAGTTAGTTACGAGGATTATTCAACACTGGCTGGGGCGGCATCGAGGGGTGTTTCTGAAACGAGTTAGTTACGAGGATATTCAACACTGACTGGGGCGGCATCGAGGGGTGGTTTCTGAAACGAGTTAGTCGCGAGGATATTTAACACTGGCTGGGGCGGCATCGAGGGGTGTTTCTGAAACGAGTTAGTTACGAGGATATTCAACACTGACTGGGGCGGCATCGAGTTTCATAATTTTATCATATTTGTTATATCGCAATTTCATATTTTTTGTGACAGAAATCTGCAAAAAAAAGGATACTTTGTTCAGTCCTTTTCCCTTTCTTGTGTCCTTTCCTTTTTGTTTCTGGAAATGTGTTATACCCCTGCCAAATTACAACCTCTGTAAAAAAACGACACTGCTATATAACAGACGCAAAAACAAACCTCAACTGTTATATAATGTCAGTTGATTTTTTTTTCTTCTATATAAAACAAGAAAAAACTGCACTGTTATATATCAATACAGGTTTCAAATCCATATTGAATTTCCTGTATATTATGCATATGTAAGAACAAAGAAAAAATCGAAACTATGCGATAATTGTAATTGACCTTCATTGGTTTTCATAATGAAACATCGGATATAATGAAACATAGGCAGACGTTACCCAGCAGGCACATCAACGTTGTTTCAACGTTGAATTATGGTCAGATTTCAACGTTGAAATAAGGTTGGATTTATATTCGGATTTGAAAGTTGAAACAACGTTGAAATTTCAACGTTGATACAACGTTGCAGCTTCAACGTTGGTACAACGTTGAAGTTTCAATGTCATTTAAACGTTGAAAACCCACCATACTTTAATTTTTGGATATAAAGCAAAGTTACCAAGTTTAACAAAATATCAAGACAATATTAAATACTTCAGATATTTTATTTAAAAAATACAGTTCAAGTGCAGCTTAAATTCATTTTAATAGTTTTACAATTAAGCTACAATCTGTTACCATCTTTTCTTCTAGATCTTTCTGGGTATGTCAGGTGTTTGAGTACTTCTTTGGCTGTCTATTACTGCTTCTGCAAATAAAAATAAGAAGTTGTTGACTTGGTCAATCTCAAATTATACATATAATCACTCAACTTATAGATTTGTTTTTCTCTTAAAATGCTTTTCTCTAAGATTTACATCATAAAACAGCATAGAAATTGAAACATAGCCAAGTTTCATATTGACAGCAAATACTGTATATAAGACAACAAAATCTTTTTAAAAAGAAGCTATTTAAAAGTCTCACCTATGATTGGTAAGAAAAACTGCTCCCCGTCAGTTGCTTGCAGCCTATTCCCAAGAAATTAACATTCTAGGCTCTAGCTAAGACCATTCTATGCAGCATCCTGAAATCAACAAACATGTAAATTTTATATTAATAATGTTACAGGAATATTCAGAAAATAATATATTTTAAGACAAGATAAATATCCAGTAGTTGAAAAATTTATACTTTGTATTGTAAATAAATTCAAAAATATAAATTAATAAGAATTAATTTCAATTTAACAAACCTGACAGTCCTTTTCATGTTGAGTGTATGGTATACAGACTACAGCTGCAATACTCTAAATTTCAGCCAGGACCAGGATCTAGAATATAAAATAATATATAATAAAATAGAAATAGATTTATTATTCCCTATAAATTTACGACTATTCAACTTTAAAGTTTAACACTCAACTTTGTTATTTAACTTAATAAAAATGTATTTTTTTCAAACTAATTAACACTGTATTATACTATCACTAAAATATAAACATAGACATAGTTATATATATTGTCTTGGGGCGTAAATTATGTGGGCCGAACTACTTAATAGGTTTTAATTTTATAATTGATTAAATTCTAATTAGGATATAGTACAGACAAATGTTTAATAATATGAAAAATAAATTAAAGAAAGACAAGATTTGTAAAATCATAAATTGCCAAGGACATCAATAACTTCGTGTTTACAATCAAGGCCTACCGAACACAAATCATTCAATTAGGTCGCGAAAACGTGTCATATCAACTCAATCATGTGTTTTCATCTCTCTTTTATTTCATAAATTAAATTAAAGTAGAATTTTAAGAATAAATAATAATATTTTAGAAAATAATCAGTAAACTTTAGTAAAACATTACGGTAATACCTTCGAAATCCAAATAAATTGCCAATCGTGTTGTTTTCAAATTTTCCAAACAGCGCCACCATTTGCACGAACGATAATCATAGACCGCAACAATTACTTCCCCTGACCAGCGTTATTTTATAAACGGGGTTTTGACTAATATCAATTTATTAATTAATATTATTCATAAAGAACTAAAAAATAAAACAACAAACAACAAAACATATTAACTAACATTTAAAGCGTTAATATAAAGTGAAAAATTATTTCCAACTTTATTTGTTTAAGCGCTAATTTTGAATATACGGAAAAAGATTGTAACGCAAATTTTCCTGACAAAAATCACTTACAGACTAATTCAATAAAGGAATATTATAATAACACAAAATTAGTGGTATAAAGGTTTATATAATGATTAAACTAAATGTAAAACTTCGACCATAAACAACGTTGAATCAACGTCGTATATACATTGGCAATATATCCGTATGGTCGTCCATAGTTGAATATTGGTTGAACAACGTCACGACCATTTTTCAACGTTGTTTCAACGTTGAAACAACGTCGAGTGCCTGCTGGGTATGAATTAGGGCACTTTATGAAAGTAAGTTAATAAAGTCATGGTTACACCGTAGTAAGCAGGACTGCGACTGATGTACGACTACATGTATATAAACAGTCCCGATAGAGTCTTGCGTTCGCACAGGCCAAAATACCTGTCCTAGCTGTATTTTTAAATTAAAAAAAAAACAACAAAAAAACAAAAACAACAACAACAAAAACCAAGACTGATCTAAAAAGAAATTATACCAAACAAATGCGTAATCGAAATACGACTGCCATGCCCAATATTTTAACCTTTGCTTTAAACTGTTCCTGTTATTTTAATAGGTTTTAATGAAACATTGATAGGAATTGTTAAACAATATAATACTACAAGCAATGGGACAAAACAAAATCCGTATCAGTCATGCACTGTTGCATTATCGCGTGTAGTTAGTTATATTACACAATACACCAAACTGCGTAATTATAAAAGGTCGACCTGAGTTAACACAAACAGTATAAGATGATTATGGCTATGTGTAGTTTTTAGTTTGTAACAGTGGAGATTATTTCATTTCTTATATGCCTTGAATTTCATTGAATAAATCAGATGATTTTAGTATTTATATTGTGTGTGAAGCAGAACACATTCAACTAATCATTAAATTTTTTTATTGAATGAATTCAAAGATTTTTAACTGCACTGTATGCATGGCTGCACTGCACTGTATGCATGGCTGCACATAACAAAATACTGAGAGAGCGTCGCCGATAACACAGAGTTAGGATATATCACTATAGTTCCTCAAGATTTGTCGCCCTTTTATTTGCATACACCATTTATACTGCAAAAAAAGGAACTTTTAGTTATCATATTATTTGTCTGATTTAATTGTTCGAGGAATGGATAGTTTACAAAATATTCCAAATGATATAGAAACAGTGCAAGAAAATAGCGATATAACACATTCTGATGAAGTTCAAGCCATGACTGTTGAAAAATGTGATATTGAAGAACCTACATACGGTTTCACGGAAAAGTCATGGAGAACGGATTTTATTTTGCTTGTTGAAGGAAAACGCTTGTATGTAAATAAGGCTATCTTATCTCTTGCGTCGCCTGTCTTTGATACGATGTTCCAATCCGACTTCAAGGAAAGTCAGTGCGAAGAGTTAGAGTTGCCTTGGAAACGGTACCGTGACGTGATAGAATTTCTTCGGTGTGTATATCCGAATAACGTACCAACAAATATCACTATGGAATGTGCTGTGACTATTTTACCCCTTATCGAAGAATATCAAGTTCTTCAGTTAAAACCAAGATGTGAGCAAGCCATTATTGAGAATATAGGCGACGAAATACAAATTGAAAAAATATTCGATTTGCTGCATATAGCATGTCTTTACAACCTCGTTAACCTGCGTAAACGTTGCGTGAAAATAACATGCACAAAATCTGAAAAAGAAATTTATAAGGCTTTGGAAAATTGTCAACCTCCAGCGGAAGCGGCAAAAGAAATCCTGGAAGAATTGAATAAGAAATTGATGGAAACTGTGAATAAACAAAAACTGTTAATTGATGATATATCAAGAGAAGCATCTGAGAATACTAAAACTCTTAAAGCTGAGAATACCGAGCAGGAAAGACAACTGGTTATCTTGAAACAATATCTGTCCGGGGATGTGAAAACGAATAAAACAATCACACTTGGAAATGAAAGCCAATGGAGGGAATGTACAGGTATATTTGACGTTGATACAGAAAAAGAAAATATAAGGACGGAAAGCCAAGTTACTGTTTGGAATGTTCCTCTTGTAGTTGTCGTTTCAGAAAAATCAACAGCTAAAAACGAATCCTATCTTAGAATTGAGATAACCTGTACATATAAAAAGGTTGTGTGTTCATTTAAAGGGCGTGTTGTCGTTGTAAATAGACAACCTAAAGGAGAGAACCATACAATGTTCATGAGTGGATCATTTCCATCACTATCATATACATCTTCAAGCCGTCGATTTAGTCAGGAAATAATAAAAATGTATAGGATAAAGGAAATTGCAAATGGATTTTTGAGTAACGGTCGTATCGGGTTGATAGTTCAGATTTTCATGACGGAACCAAACAGGGGTTGACAAACTAGTGATTTCGTTAAACATTTTTTAGTATTTAATATATGTTAAGAAGAAAATTTTCTGTCTAGTACGTCACCTTTAAAGCTATATATTTGCTATCAGTTGATTGTAAGGTTCTTGCTTATATTGTGATTAAAATGATTACATGATATTTGTTGGTATTTTCATTAAATGCGATTTAGGCATGACGTAAAATATCACCAAAACTACTAAAATTAGCTGTCAAATGTTTTGTTCCATGTCATTATATTCTGTTTATGTACAATATTCATGTACACTCATGTACATAGAAATTATATTCAAAATTTGTCAAGACCATATGGTTGTGAAAACTATCAAATTTACTGTTTTTATTTTTTATGCAAATAGACGCCAGTGCTTGTTGATACGTTTGCACTTTATATATAAAACCGGTATAAACGATTGACACCATATTAAAAAGCCTCGATATTACACAAGATAAGAATTGCAAACAATGCAACAATGATCACTTTATGGTATTTTCGTGTTTTGGACCGGCGACCAGTGCAGCAAAATAGCATATGGCACAAATCAGTCACCACACTAGAGTTATTTTTCCGTAAGAGAGTACATTTCCTTGAAGTCATTTCAAATCATATATTGTTATGTCAGTATTTCATGTACTCTCTTGCGTATCGGCCGGATGTTTCACTATCGTTCACTTTCGTTGGTGTATTCATTGATCTGCGAAGGAGCGTATAATCTATGGAATTAACAGTTATTTTTGCCCTTGCTGTTTGAAGCGTATATTTCATGCAATTTACACTTATATTCGCCCTTTCAGTACATTTGCGAAAATTACATGTACCTTAATGAAACCACTTCATTCTAAGATTAAACGAGGAAATGTGAAGACACGAAAATAATTCAAAGTACAAAATTAATATGTTTTTACCAGCGTTTTCCCATTTTAAAGGTAGCATGGGACTCCGTATTAACGGCGTCATGACGTTTCCCGTATGCCTGCATTGAATTTCATTGATGCTATTTTTAATATTTTTTTGTGTGAAGCAGAACTCGTTCAACTAATCATTACATTTTTATTAAACGAATTCAAAGATTTTTAACTTCACTGTATGCATGACCGCACATGACAAACTCGATAATAGCGTTGCGCCGATAATACAGAGCTGAAGATTTGTCGCCCTTTTATTAGCATACACCATTTATACTACTGAAAAGGAAGTTTTCCTTATCATATTTATTATCTGATTAAATTGTTCGAAGAATGGATAGTTTACAAGATATTCAAAATAATATTGAAACAGTGCAAGAAAATACCGATATAACACATTCTGATGATGATCCAGCCATGACTATTGATGAAAAATGTGATATTGAAGAACCTACTTTCGGTTTCACGGAAAAGTCATGGAGAACCGATTTTATTTTGCTTGTTGAAGGAAAACGCTTGTATGTTAATAAGGCCATCTTATCTCTTGCGTCGCCTGTCTTTGATACGATGTTCCAATCCGACTTCAAGGAAAGTCAGTGCGAAGAGTTAGAGCTGCCTGGGAAACGGTACCGTGACGTCATTGAATTTCTTCGGTGTATCTATCCGAATAACATACCAACAAATATCACTATGGAAAGTGCTGTGACTATTTTACCCCTTATCGAAGAATATCAAGTTGTGAAGTTAAAACCAAGATGTGAACAAGCCATTATTGAGAATATAGGAGACGAAATACAAGTTGAAAAAATATTCGGTTTATTGCATACAGCATGTCTTTACAACCTCGTTGACTTGCGTAAACTTTGCGTGAAAATAACATGCACAAAATCTGAAAAAGAAATTGATGAGGCCTTTCAAAATTGTCAACCTCCAGCAGAAGCGGCAAAAGAAATCCTGGAACAATTGAATAAGAAATTGAGGGAAACAGTGAATAAACAAAAACTGTTAATTGATGATATATCAAGAGAAGCAACTGAGAATACTGCAACTCTCAAAGCTGCGAACACCGAACAGGAAAGACAATTGGTTATCTTAAAACAATACCTGTCTGCGGATGTAAAAACGAATAAAACAATCACACTTGGATATGAAAGCCAATGGAGGGAATGTATAGCTATATTTGACGTTGATATGGGAAGTGAAAGAGTAAGGACGGAAAGACAGGTTACTGTTTGGAATGTTCCTCTTGTAGTTGTCGTTTCAGAAAAATCAACAGCAAAAAACAAATTCTACCTTGGAATTGAGATAAGATGTATAAATAAAGAGGTAGTGTGTTCATTTAAAGGGCGTGTTGTCGTTGTAAATAGACAGCCTATGGGAGAGAACCATACAGTGTTGATAAGTGGATCCTTTTCTAACTGTTCTATCTTTTCGAGCCTTACATGTAGTCAAGAGATAATGAAAATGTCTAGGATAAAGGAAATTGCAAATGGATTTTTGAGTAACGGTCGTATTGGCGTGATCGTTCAGATTTTCATGACAGAACCAAACAGAGGCTAATAAACTAGTGATTTCGTTAAACATTTGGTAGGACAATTTCAACTACAACATCCTGTCACCGTTTTTTTTTTTAAAGAATTTTATTAGGCAAAATACTATCGAAAATGTTTCTATATAAACGAAGAAGGCCCGAAGCGTGCATTCTTCTACAACAATGCACTCGCCGTTCTTATTATCTCGCTGTATATTTTCACATTGAGGGCGCCATTTTGTTTGAAAAATGTAATAAATAAAAACAATTTTTTGTCGAATTTTGTTGTGAAAACTATCTAGAATGAAAGAAAATGGTCTAACTAAGAAAATGAATTCGAACATCAATATCTTTTATTCAGTCGTTAACGCTGTACAGACGTTTAAAGTGTTGTTTACGTGACGTCACAATGTAGCGCCAAACAGCACGTGCAAAACAATCAAATCAAGTACGCTATTTTAATGTCGCAAACGAGTTAAGTTTTACATTTATTTCACTTTAATGATTTTTATTTCGCTTGAAAAATTAAAGAGTGAAATGAAATAAACAAAGTTTTATCAACGTTTCCAAAATTCGTTATTCTACACACAGAAGATTTAACGACAGTTTTTATATTTTTTCTTGAAAAGTAGTCCGGCAAACATGCATACCACGTGATCAAGTGCCGTAGATCAGTAAAAATATACGGCACCTTGTTATCGGGCCGAAATTGATACAAGTGACAGGATAAATTAAAATATAGTTCATTGATGATTTTAACGATACCAGTAGATCTAGCATTTTTAACACTTTGATGATGATGATAATTATGACGATCTTGATGATGATGATGGTGATTAAAATTGTAATAATTAAAAACCAAATTCGCCTTCTTTCAATTCTTTTCCAAAAATATTATGCCAATTATACATTAAGATTAGTACAACGTATGTGTTTATCACTATTTGTCCTTAATAAGTTACTATGTTAATTAAACTAATTGTAATCATTAAAATTCTAATTCTTCTTCTGAACAGGACCTTAAATTATTCCTCTTCCTCTTTTTCTTCTTCTTCTTCTTCTCCTTAATTTTCTCCTTATTATTATTATTACTATTATTATTATTTTTATTATTATTATTATTTCCAATGAGTGACAGTCCAGGGGGTCACGGTGGGTATTTGTATTTCCATTTCTGTATCACTCAGTACGCTAGAAGTTTCGACAACCAGTCCGACCGGTCACTGATCCGGAAACTATGAACTCTAGCATTAACTTGCAAAATATATAAAAACAGCGTATTTTGCACAACGTGTACGTTTCATATATAATTTTACAAGTAAAGAACATGATAATCTTAAAGCTACCATGTCCATCCTGTTAAAATGAGACACTACGAGCTAATGATGAAAGTGCCTGGCTCATCACTTATAATACTTAAGTTACCTCGCGTTGTTCATTCTGCGAATTATGCAATTTTATTAATCTATTCTGAATCAAAACAAAAATAGGAGAACGACGTCCTTGTGATGACCTCTGTCTGCCTTTCAGCACAGGGATCATGATGCGACCGATATAGTGGTGACGACCACGGTTCCTCATACTTAGTATTTCACCAGTACTGGAGAGTTCAAGGAAACGAACACGGCAGGGGATTTAATAATCGTCAAGATTTTATATTAATCATGTTTATGTGTAAACTAGTGGTGGCGTGGTCATGTGGCTAGTATTATGTTATAGACTTATATATATAAAATTGTATTCTGCATTGGGTTGAAACCCTGTCAGGGGTAAGCCGTTGTTTCCTTGAGCAAGAAACTTTGCACTCATTGCTTAATTGAAATCCAGGAACAGACAGTAAGCTTACAACTTCCAACCTTATCGACCTAAAGTAAATTCTGCATAAACTATTTTCCAACCTGCACGTCACGAAAATAATTAAAATGATAAAATAAAGATGTATTAAAACATGTTTAACAATCTATACACTATTTAAAACAATCTCTTTAAAAGCAATGTAGGCACAAAATTAATATTTCAAATCGATCTGTAATGTAAACAAATACAGCAGAAAATCAATCTAAACAGACTTAATTAACACAAAGATGTTGTCTGTATGCGCTAACTTGTGTGAGCAATATCATGCGAGAGTCTGACCCAGAACAAAAAATGTATTGGAATCTAGCTTTTTAACATGGCGAAATATTTTGACTACACAAATGTGCTAGCAGTAATAAAGCCAAAACCATGGTTACCATTATAATAACTTGAGCAACTAGACTCCTCCCATCCTTGCGCGTGTACTAGACTACTAGTTATAAGTACCGCATAAAAATGCTACCCATTTTCTTTATTGACTTGACCTTCTAACATACTTTTTTATACAATCCGTTTCAATACGCTACACCACGTGTTTAAAACATGATACTACTTAGTATGTAGCGTTCCTAAATTCGGGAGTGCAAGAGGTATGAAAAAGCAGATTTAATGTAAGATTAAATAAAATGATGTGCTGTTAAACGAATAATAATGATTGCGAATTAATAAACTTAACATATAATTGTATTTATGTATTTTTCACATATTAGAAACAGACTATATACCATGAATAAACAAGTGAACATCTAGGATGCGAATGACGTCATGGGGTTATTTTCTATATCATAAGAAGCTAACGTGGCTATAAGTAAAACATCATACATACCTATAATTTACATGATTTAGTAAACGTTGCATTCCTTATTTAAATCACTCTATACAGGTGCGGATCCAGAATAATTTACCAGCGGGGTGTCAATATATAGCTATATATATATTCCAGAGGGGGTTTGGCATAACGTGAATTTATGTCAACTCGAGGGCAAGGAGTCAAATATTTGCATGATTTTCAAAAATATAAAGCTCAAGTTATATCTCAACCTTTATGTTTCATTATAGTGAATGCGTTTTCTAAAGTTAGTCAAATTTTCTCAGAATAGTGCAGGGGTGCATGCTTTTTTATCAAGTTTAAAGAAATCAGTGGTTTACAATAGCAAAGACGATACAGTTTGATTCAAGATGTGTGTTATTATGCCTACAATGAAGCGTTCTTATTCCGGAAGTGTTCAAATGTTATTCCATTGAAAACCATTTTTTCCGCATTTTCAAAATACTTTATTGTGTAATGAACTATCAACAGCTAGAATATCACTGACGAGGTTATCGGGTCTCCGTGCTCCGTGGTAAACCAACTCGCGAGCAATAATCTAGACCATTGAGGCAAATAATTATATTGGCTTAAGATTTATTTCGAAATCATTCATAAATGATAATTATAACGTAACGTATGTAGTCATTTAGACAAAAAGGTCGTAATGAATAACAACATAACACTTTTGATTAAAACCCAAAAATAAGGTCATGCATCGTAGACGTCAATCATTAGGCCGGTGAGGATTGAAGGGAAGTAATCTGTACATATTTAACATGTAAAATGGTTACTGCAGTTACTGCCCTTTAAGCGGACATAAGTATAATGTAGCCCATTCTTTGTAAATATATACTCAAATTTTGAAAAAACATGCAGACAATACATTTTTATGTATTTATGCATATTTAGTAACAGGTCCTATGTTGTTCAACAGCAGTCATTCCAGACTTCAAGTAGTCATGTTCGTAAGAAATAAACACACGGTTTTCTACCCCTTCCGCACTACAAATCCCACTGACTCATTTAGACTTTTTATTTTTTTATTTTTTTTGCTGAAGTTAGATATTTAAGCTATCTCTACCTTTCTTCAAACAACACTATATTTAAAATTGACGATTGTTTCAAACACAAAATTTTAAAGGACTAGCATGATTTTTTTTTTTTTTTTTGAAAAATAAGTAAACAATTATTCTATTCCACTATTATATCACTCACACATTTAAAATAATTTGGCTGAAAACGAAGTTGTTTTGGTGTATGACTTTCAAAACTTTCTATCTGGATGTTTCCCCGGACGGACGGACGAACAGATAGAATGTATGAATGAATGTATGAATAAATGAATGAATGAATAAAAAGATGCATGAATGAATGAATTTTTATCAAAATTTATCATGATACGTTAGAATAGCAATAATAGTATAATGTGATCTAATGAGTTTTGTTTGTACTCATATAAATCATTGATATCAAGAGCTTTATTAATTACCATATTGTTTTTTTTTATTTTCAAGTTATATTCAATTATCACATACAAGTTCATGACAAACTGCATAATGCAACTATTATAATATCATCTAAACTGTGTCCTAGCCCACTATAGTGCCATCAATTCCTGTGTCAGGTTTTCCAACTGTCATGGGAAAGAACCTACAATGAAAAAACAAAAAAAAAAAAAACAAAAAAACCCAAAGTATTTGTAAACAGTTAAAATTAAACTGATGATTAAAATAACATAGCCATACGAAGTTTTATTAATATACACAAACTTACGTGAGCGGAAATTGATGCTATAGAACTGTTAAAGGCGGTACTCTGCCAAGTGTGAGATAGATTGGGGGAGGGATGGGAATCTGCAATTGTGAGGGAGTTTGTTTGTTTGTTGTTGTTGTTTTGTTTTTGTTTTTTTTTGGGGGGGGGGGGGGGGGGGGGGAGCAGTAAACAGATATATTATAATACCTGCTGTGTTGTCCGAACAGTGCTATATCCGGTGCAGTCACGTGGGCAATCATCATCATTGTTCTAGCGTCGACAATTATCATGAATGCTTAAAGTGAACCAACATTTATTAGAAAATGTAAAAATAACGGCATTGAAATTGACAGTTATTCATTCCGGAAATATACTATTTATAGATTAACAGGTATAATTATGTGCTAGAGTATAGAAAAATACAGTATAACCTCTACAGAACGAACCTCTGTATAGCCGTACCAGTTTTATAAGGACAGTAACAATTCTTCCCATAATAAAATGCCAAAATGATATTATATTAAACCTTTTTACGGCAATACCTCTCGTAAACAACCGAACATTCTTTGCAAATACGCATGCGATTTAAAATTATTATCAAAATACTATCGAATACTGTCAAATAAGTACTTATATAATTCTTTTTTGTATAACAGTACAACCTGTGCAGAGCAAGCACCTTTGAGTTCTATATTTAAAGATAAAATGATGGAAATTAATATATATCAACACAGAACATAATTAACACACAACAAATATTATTTTACAAGAAAGTAAATTATGTACATTTATATCTTTTATTATGAATTTAGCTTATTTCAATTTCGACAGTTAAAAACGAGGCGATCGCTTTATAATATGTATAAATGTCTTTTTGTCACTGATTCATTTTGTCTTTCTTTGGCTACACGGTAGGTAGATATCTACAAGTACAATTTGATTTAAACCAGCTACTAAAACGTCTCACGTGTTAGAAATAAGTAGGTCTGACCTTTAGTCAGATTGAAAGATATTCAGGATAAAAATCTTTTTTTAGATTTACCTTTATGTTTGATTCCATCAACGCCTTGGGCCAGTATTACACCATCGTCCTCAGTTATTGCCCCTTGTCGAGAAACAAAGTGAGGATCTTGTACAAACATCCCTTCTGGTAGAATAAACTCTTGTTCCACGCCAGTATCAACATGCAACTAGAATTATAATAATTATAAATGATATCATGAGACATGGAATAGTTCAACAAATAATTCTGGTTCGTATCAGGACGGCAGTTATATCATGCATGCACACCTTATTTATATTTTTTTACAGTTACACTTCTCCACTACAGAAGGTCGTCATCTGGCAACTTTACAGCTATAGTGGAGAAGAAAGACCTCAGGTGCCCCTTCGTGTATAATTTTAGGCAAGCATAGAACCACCGACTTTCTGTAAGCTAGGTGCATATCTTCCTTACAAGAAATAATCAGAAAGTAAAATAAAAATAAAACATAATCAATAAAATCTTAAACAAGTTCAAATTTAATCTTTGCTATTCGTACAAACACAACAAATAAGTTAGGTTCCAAATATTTCAGCCAACAAACTAAGGTTATATTTGACAAATACATGTACAAATGTATAAACATAAATGAATAAATACACATTTGAACGCGAACAATCAAAAAATCTGAATAGAAAAAATAACTTTGTTACATTAAGATTGCCTGTTTAATTTTGCTATTTAAATCCTAATCATTTAATATTTAACAATCGTCTAAGTGCTAAAGAACTGGTTTACCTTTGTAATAGCATTTTGTTCCCTTCTATCAAAGTTTCTTGTCATGTACGCATATTCATATTTCTTCCCATTGTATGCATGGTTAATAGTTGGCATTTCAAACGCAGACGGTGACTTCCCGTCACCCCGTAAATTGCGCATGCGCGCTGTCTTCCCGGAAATGCTTATAGATATGCGGGATAAGTTTGTCGTGTAAACATTCTTGAGGAAAAAAACAACAACACAATATTCAATGGTACCATGCTAAAATTGACAGGGATATTTGTCTTTGCCGCCAGTGTACAACCAGACTGGCCGACACATCCGTGCCGACCGACCACTCTCTATGATGTATGTAGCTCAATAAATTTTAATGTCCTTATATGGACTGTTTCAACTTCATGAATTCACAATTTCAACTTCACGAATTCACGATTTCAACTTCATGAAGTTGAAATCGTGAATTCGTGAAGTTGAAATCGTGAATTCGTGAAGTTGATTTCGTGAATTCACGAAGTTGAAATCGTGAAATAGTGAATTCGTGAAGTTGAAATCGTGAATTCGTGAAGTTGAAATCGTGAATTCGTAAAGTTGATTTCGTGAATTCACGAAGTTGAAATCGTGAATTCGTGAAGTTGAAATCGTGAATTCGTGAAGTTGAAATCGTGAATTCGTGAAGTTGATTTCGTGAATTCACGAAGTTGAAATCGTGAATTCGTGAAGTTGAAATCCAGAATTCATGAAGTTGTAATCGGGAATTCATGAAGTTGAAATGTCCTCACCGGTCTTTCGTACACTACCGACTAAATTCTTATACATTTGTACCTTTTTTACCCTAATATAAGCGCGACTTGTGAACAGCATCAGCTGGAGTAATGAAAATTTGCCGCGTTTTTTTTTTTTTTTTTTTTTTTTTTTTGATAACAATTGTTTTGTACATTGCAGAAGATTATTCTCCCTTTAATGAAAACAAGTTTAAAAAACATATATACCGTGTAAGTGTAAAATTTAGAAAATGTTATCAAATAATAACAGGGCTGGGAATCAAAACTGCGTCGTATCCTACAAAATGTAAACAAACGCCGCCATCTTGGAACGAAAAATGTATGTTTTTGTTTATAACTCTTTTTGTTGGAAATGACTGAAAACCAGATATATGTATTAACACGCTACACTATTTTCCGCTTCGTTCGGTATATGTTGCTTGCACAACTATTTTGTAAAACAAAAGTTATAGCGAACTTGCAACTCGAAGCGGGGCAGAATTTTTATTAAAATGTGTGGATACGACGCAGTTCATATTGCTTTATCTATCGTTTTTTCCTTCAAATCAATTATATACTCGTTTTCAGAGTTCACCATAAACTTCAAAACATAATTTTGCATCATTTACTAAACTTTCATTAAAAAGAGATGTTTATTTTCTAAGAAAATAATGATTTTTACGAAATGATACGACGCAGTTGAAAATAAAATATGATACGACGCAGTTGTATTTTTGGCAGTCTTTTCAACAGGGATAATTTTGGCAATATATTTCTATTTTATGGAATTATCACTTGCGCTAGATAAAAAAACCCAGATAATTTGCGGTGTATAGCAATGTTCTGTTGCTTTTGATTATTAAGTTTTGATTCCCAGCCCTGAATAAGAAATAGATTATATAATAATATTATACCTCAGAGAGAAGATTTTCCACAAACATATGTTTGTCAAAGATAGAGGAATCGTTATACGTCAGCATGTCCATATGGATAATGTTACCATCTTCAAAGGCATTCAGCTGTGGTAACAAACAAGCCGGATTAGCCCGGTACCAAACGTCCATACATTGGACACACTGAATTCTTAATTATAACAACATTATTGGTTGCATGATGATAAAATACTAAATCACTATAACTATATAATCTGCCAAAAAGCAGCAGATAAAAAATGGCAATGAGTTTTGGAAACTTTAAAAGTATACAAAAAAAAGCTTTTGAGGAATATATATAAAATCATTTTCTGGGGCAGACCGGGCCTGTAAGATTTCTATGAATATAGTTTATGCGAGATAGTTTGCAATAAATGGAATAGACGTTAAATATCGCAATGACGCTAAATGTCACACTTGCCGCCAATAGTCGCGCTATTGCCGCTAAATGTCACAACCGCCGTTAATTGTCTCAAAATATTTTAAAGTTTAAAGTCGAAATGATAACGTTAAATGTCGCACCATTTCTCTTCACCGTTAAATGTTACAACGCTATCGTCAAATGTCGCAATATCTAAATCCGTGTTTAACAACTGTATTATGCCAATATTAACGTTATGAAAGTGATCTTAGGAGTAGCTATCTACTAGTATCAGATAGGAAGGGATTTTCTGCCAAGTACAACATACTTGTTTGAAATTGAAGTCATCTTTGTTGATATTACAATTTGACGAGCGTAACAAATGCCAAAGGCTCTCTTTGTGGTAAAACACATTTGAATACTTTATTTTTCATTTTGCTATCCACTTCTAGAAACATTTTTCATCTTGGGTCGGTAGATATATCGAGATTTTCCTTTATGTCTCAAAGTTACTAAATATTTGTAAGCAATCAATCGATGTTTATTGTGATTTAAAATCACTAGCTAAGCTATACTTTGTCATGAATACATTTTGCGACATCGAACGGAAATGGAAAATCGTGCGACATTTAACGACAGAAGAGTGTGCGACATAAAACGGCGGTTGCGACATTTAGCGGTAATGGTACGATATTAAACGGCAAGTGCGACATTAAGTGGCGTTACGACATATAACGGCGCTGTAAGAATTAATTGAAACCCTTAAACCTACTTAAAGCGAAAGTGAAAAGATTTGCCACCAGTTTAGAGTCAGGTCAGCTTTCACATCGTTGTAGTCTGACTAGGCTCTATAATGTTCGCTGACCAATTTAAATTTTCATTTTTATCGTTCACAAATTGACTTTTTTGCATGTTAATATTTCTATCCTTAAACTTGATAATGGAAAGTAAGAAAATAGCAAATGAAGTAGTCCGTTTGAAAAGTTCAGTAAATTTAGCGTGACATTTTGGAACGAACTTGCATTTATGATATTACAATTTCCGTCATAACTCATGAACAGACTCGACCAAAGTCTGCAATTTTCATATAATTTTGTTGTTGGAATATTCCCTTTTATTTAGAATGTTCCCTATGCCAAAAACATTAGGATCAGCAAAGGCTGCAGACGTAATGCAGTCAGAGTAGGCACTTTTTCGGTACAGGGATCAGTTATACTCGTATTATGATTAATCTGGACAGTTTCAATTTAGTTAATAGTTAAATACAAGGTTCATAAATAAAAAGTGATTATTAGCAGAACAAGGAAACTGTATAGATCGATAGAAGCAGACGTTTTACCTTTGAGTTAATGTGACCTTTGTATATCAGCTGACAACGTACCGAAATATTGGTAATCATATGTACTGAATAGTTAATCAGAAACGTACAGCGCCGGTATATGTCGTAATATCAGGCAAACGTGTAGGCATTAATGCAAACAAACTATCACTCTTCAACAATTTAAATAAGTGATAAACCTTTGCCACGAACATGAAGCAAACCCGGCCTGTATATCCTTGGAGTCGGACAAGTCTCTTCACTGTTTTCTGACCAACACAAATGTTCATCCGAATTTAAAAGAATTGAAAATCGACAGGTAAAAAAATATGAAATCAAGACACGTCAATTGCACAAATTAAGCAGATTGAGACAGTCTGGAGTTCCCTCCCCTTACACTACGTAGTAAATGTAGGTAGGGAACCAGACTAAGTTAACAGCTGAGTCGTCATCGTCGGGAATTCCTTCCCCTTAAACAATGTTTAGTTTCCGTATTAATGTTGGGAACCAATTTTCATCGTTGCATAGTCGTAGAATTACCTGATGAGTTGCAAAGAATGGCGGCATGGTTATATTAGCTATGAACTGGCCGTCAGATTTTCTCATCACAAGAAGTCTAGAATAGCCTGTCGATTCATACTGGAAACCTTGTGGTAAGAAAGGCTCGTACTTGTCATACCTTGCTGAAAGCATATCAGAAAGGACAAACTATTGTTTGATAATCGCCGCATGAAACACATTCCAAAATTTCACCACCTTTCATGTTTTAATGTTTAGTTCTGATTAAAACGCTGCTGGGGTCTTGGACGATAGCACGCAGTTACCAATATAGTCCATGCACATGCTCAATCAAACCGGGCCTGCAACATTTTCAATTTGGCCGTTCTTAAGATATTTTGTTTTTCTTAATGTTGATTGTGTTAATAAACTGTCTTGAAACAACAGGAAATATAATGATTTTATTAGAGATGACATATTAAGCTGAAAACAGAATTTACATATCTAGTAATGCATCATCGACATTCATAGCAATAAATTATTTGTGATATGCAGATAAGGCTTTAAAATCGTATCAAAAGTAAAGATTATTTTCTTAGTGAAAAATAGATAATAATTCTAATACCGGCTTGAAATCTATGGAGGGCGTTCGTTGCCAAAATTCCAGACATTTAAAGTGTTCCTATTGAAAACTACTTTTGAAAATGCGAACTTGTATGTATAGCAATTTTAACTGTATCCGTGCAAAGGAAATAAATTGCCTCTTAATCCAAACTTTTAAGTGAAGGTTTACACATAGATCTTAACAAAAATGAAATGAAAAAATAACAAATTTACAAGTTCGTATCTTCCATTACATATAATATATAAGCAAATCGGCACACTTTTGATATAAATCTGTTCCTGAGACAAGACAAAAGTATGTACAACTGAAATGTAAAACTTAAATACAGAAAATAGAGTTTAAGAAAACTTGTTTCCAGTTGCAGAACTACAAGAGTGCGTTTACATAGTAACATGTTAAATAAGACTAAAGTAGATTCACAAAATTAAACAATCTTAAGTCACACATGACGCCCCGCCCCTATATGAACGAGTAGTTACGAAATGTACGGACAAGTATAAAACTCTGCCAACAGTCAAAATTGCTATACATACAGGTTCACATTTTCAAAAGCAGTTTTCAAAAGGAACACTTTACAACTCTGGAATTTTTGCAACGGACGCCCTCCCTTTAATAAATGTTTAAAGAAGTAATTGGGCCTACACACATTCAGTGAGTAAATCAACACTTACTAAATACACAAGGGTCATCCATCAGTGCTGTTTCTGGTAGGATAATATAGTTTTCTGTCATAGCAATTGAATGAAGGTATCCGAATCTTGCACCAAAGTCTGGATATGGTCTCGTGCCTTTACATCTCGTGAGATTTGAGTCCTCGTAGTTGAATGTTCCAACAACATGGCGTCCTAGGTCATGGCCTATTTTGTAAACCACGCGTCTAGTATGGAAATAAAAGTTCTATTATTCATGAGATAAAGAAACGTTGTTAAGTGAAATTGGGGGTGAAATCTGTCTATTCAATGAATTATGAAGCGGTATTCAAAAAAGCAATGACGTGGAAGTATAAATAAGCATCTAAAACTAGCCCGATCCTAATTTCCTTGAATAAGAGATTTCGCAGACAGAAAAATGTTTTTTCTGTGCAAAGTAACAGAACAAATAGTGTACTTTAAAGCTTTTGGCATTGATAGGTGCATACTTTTGCATATAAAGTACAGTCGCATTATCAGTTGAGCGTTAATATTCTACAGCCGAACAATACGCAAAATTCTAAAACCAACTGAATTTTACCATAAACATACAAGGAACGAAAATGTATGTAAATAAAGGTGTTTGTCGCATATATTCCGAGTTTGCCGTCCAGTTGCGCAGCATTATATCACACGGGCTACAGTCTCGTGATATGATTCCTTGCATCTGAACTGCAAACAGTGATTTTATTTAGCGATAACATCAATTTTTGGGATACTTTTTTTCTTAAATGTAATGATTATTCGTCATATCAAAATTTTTTTTTAACACTGTCCTTACTTGATTTTAAGGTGAGATTGGGTCTCGAACTTAACAACACTAACTGTACTCCACAGAGTGCCATCTGCTTCTGTTTGTGCGTGAGCTGGATTATTACTAAACAAGTACTGAGTTGTGTCCGGAACACCTAGGTTGTTATCATCATACTGAATGTAGCCCTTTTGTGTGACGTCATTGGGGTCAATTATAACACCTTTCAGAAAAAATGTTTTGGGAAAAACAACAAAAACGTCAACAACAATAGCAACATACAAAAGAACAACAGCAAAATGCAACGATAAACCAAACTGTCCTTATTTCGGTTTGAATGTTAAAAATCTGTTTGTAACGTGTTGTAAGTTGCACGTTTATTGAAAAGTTACACACCCAAATAAAATATTTATATGCAAAAGGCATGTAGCAGATATCAACCGGCCATATGACAATAGTCCCTATGCATAAACGTACGGGTATTGAGTTTTATCTATATCAGAGATTGTCGATGCGAAAAAACGATGCCCCGAAGAGAACACCATATAGTATTATGTGACGTACATGTAGCTTCCCAATTAAAATCAAAATCTGACAGCACAGTGCATTTGTCAGTAGGCAGGCACTTCGTGTTATTCTAGAAGAAAAACCCGAATTTAGCCAATACATTAAAAACGTTCAAAGTAGCACCCTGATATGGCATTCATTATGCCAAAAATATCCTGTATTTATCACATAATATATCTATGATATAGCCATTTTAAAAAAATATATATAACATTATAGATCTACATATATAGCTGTTTAGTTTATAGAGTTCCACCATAACGTTTTATAAACGTTTTTCTTATAAAATATAACCTTATGAAAACGTTTTTTTAGTATAAAGTATAACATTTATAGGCATTTTCTTATAGAAATGTATACAGTTATCGACCTGTCAGCCATTGAATATCATGTATTATTATATAATCTATAAATAGCTTTGAAATGCCTTTCCCTGATTGGCTAACAAGCAACTTTTTGTAAAAAATAACAGGTCAATATCAGAGTATATTCACTGTTTTTTTCCTAAAAATAGATTTTCAGATTATATTCACCGGTTTTTCTTCTAAAAATAGATTTTCTGGAAATCCCTAAAAGACGCGAGACTTTGATATGACGTCACGCCAAGTTTGTTATTATTCTGAAAAAAAAAACTTTGAGTGGGGTGTACATAAGAGTCAAATTAGTCTATTTTATTTACCTTTTTATATTTTTAAGAACAATAGGGATTAGCATGCCAATGGAAATGACCAAATTATGGAAACAGTAGACAAGCTGAAAAATAATGATTTCCTTCGTATGCAATGGCAGATGTGATCACAGGCGCTAGTCACATAATCAAATATTTTACATAATCGGTCTATATATGTATATAAAGATATCTTTATATACATATACTGTATAGACCGATTATGTAAAATATTTGATTATGTGACTAGCGCCTGTGGATGTGATAAACCATATAAAAGCTATTTATAAATTATATAATAAAACAGATATGTACTTTTTAGCTGTTGAATATGATGTGATATGTACTGAAAAATTAATATTGACCTCGGCTATCGCCTCGGTCAATATTAATTTTTTCAGTACATATCACATCATATTCAACAGCTAAAAAGTCCATATTTGTATAGTATTTACAGGCTTATGTGATATTGACCGAGGCCTTCATGGTCAATATCTACACATCAATATTCAAAACCTCTTTTAAACTGCCGATATAACCACAGAGACCAACATTATTTCTTATATAAACGTTTTTCTTAGATAATATAGCATTATATAACCATTTTTTTACAGAGTATAAAATTATAGAACCGTTTCTATTAAAGAATGTAACTTTATATAACCGTTACCGATCGGTTGTCCAGACATCGCAATGGCTTGATTACCGACCAACCACCAACTAACATTTGGTATCTTACTAACTTTGTTCTTGGCCGACATATTCCCGAACCATTTGTCGATCTGGTTGGCATTCTTGAGATAAAAACAATAAAACATTTCTAACGAAGTAATAAACATCTTCGATCTGCTTAACAGAAAGTAATCTTCAGATGAAAACAAAACACTATTATTCTGAAATTAGTTTGATTGTGATGGAAGCTTTGATGAGGCATTTTAGAGTGGTGGCAATGCTTAGTGCTTAACGCCTAAAATTAGTAATCTAAGGATGCCTGACAGCGTTGCTTCAAACCCTGCCACGGGGCTTGCCATTTATTCCATGATAAAGAAATTTTACACTCCTTGTTTAGTACCGGTTGGTTTCCGGAACGAATTTGAGAGTGATTCAGTAAGCACAATCGAACTCAAAACTACGTTTTTAACCGCTATTGATTCCTCTTCCAGACATCAACCAGCATTCGTTAAATACATGGAAACAAGTTAATGACCCCATAAAGTATCAAACCAAAGATCATGTTGTTGAGCTGCAGACTCTTAAACCTCATCAAAACCCCTGTTAGTCTTCCTTACTTTAACTGTGGGGTTACAATAACGTTCGATGATATTAAACAAATACACTTGATAAAATGATTTGATCAATTCGAGCACTTAATTCATATATACAACTTTATCTATTATATGTCATTTTTAGCTCGACTATTCGAAGAATATGAGAGCTATTGTAGTCGCCCCGGCGTCGGCGTCGGTGTCGGCGTCAGCGTCCGTGTCGGCGTCTGCGTTGGTTTAAGTTTTTTGTAAAGTCAAATATCTCAATTATTGCTTGAGATATTCAATTGAAACCTACAATACTTATTTATAGTAACAATGTACATCAGATTGACAAGTTGGATAACTCTGCCTATAATATTTACAGAATTATGCCCCTTTATAACTTAGAAATTTTGGTAAAAGTTTTTTGTAAAGTCAAATATCTCAATTATTGCTTGAGATATTCAATTGAAATTTACAATACTTTTTTTTAGTAACAATGTACATTAGTTTGCAAAATTGCATAACTCTGCCTGCAATATTTGCAGAATTATTTGGCCCTTTGTAACTTTTGGTTAACGGTCTTCAAAGATATTTACTTGAAACTTTACACATGTACTTAAGGTCGTAATTTGAGAGTCATAATTGTATGTCACTGACCAAGCGAATTTAGTTCCATAACTCTACTCGAATTTAGGCTGATTCATCTCCCCTTTTCTACTTAATCTCTTGGTTAATGTTAACACGCAAGTTTTACATATCTCAATCTCAATAACTATTAAAGATATTTATTTCAGACTTCACATATGCATTTAGAATCATAATTCATTGAAGGTCATTGACCAAGATCCATAATTCTATCTTGCATTTAGGCTGATTTTTCTCCCCTTTTTCAACTTAGAAATTCATGGTAAAGGTTTGCTTGTAAGCTGTTATCTCCATAACTACTGAAGTGTTTATGCCTTTTTTTGGGGACATTTTTTATGCATTCATAATAATAAAGTAGTGATTTACTTGATAAAACATCTTAATAACAAGCCTTTGTACCTTTTCGGTCAATTTTATGTATTCATAGGTAAATAGCATTATTATTCATAATAAAACACCCTTGTGACAATTTTTGAATAGTCGAGCAAATGCTGTCCTCCGACAGTTCTTGTTTATAGTGCTGTCAAAGCGTGTAAACATGCAAATTACTGTTCCTCTATAATACATGTACTCTTAAATAATGTTAATATTATTATTATTTTTTATATATTTGTTTTGTTATAAGCAGTGCATTAATGCAACTCTTAACCCTTACCCAGCTCACAGCTACAAATGGGCATGTTGACAACATCATCCATCATTTTAGAATAAATTACGGGAACAATATTCATACTGAATGTAAAAGAAGATATCAGCTTACCATTTGTGAATATATTGAATGGACAAACATAGAAGAAGCATTCATTTGACGGCGATATGTGTTGAAAATATCCTCCACTGTTGTATCGTACCATCTGAAATAGAAAAAAATATATACAATATAACCCCAGTAAAGCGGCTCACTGTAGTTCAAAGCTACTGTAGCAAGATTTGACAACAAATTTCAAACTTCACTAGATAAAATGCGAGTTTTCAATATAGATGCAAGATTAACAACTTTACCAAAAGTGTTACCAATATATATGTACAACAAAGTTTTGTTACTTTATATAAAATGTCAGGTTCAATTTTATCATTTTAAAAACGAAATTGGCGAATATGAATATCTATGAACTATTCACATATTTATTATATAAAAGGTTCATTTAAACTATATACATGTATTTGAAATAAAGAAATTGGCGTACATGCATATAAATCTATGAACTTTTCACATATCTATAAACCAATTCATGATCTTGTATGTTATAATTGAGGTTGCTACCATACTTAACTGAAATTATATATATCATGTATATAATTATGCCTATAAAACAATTTTCAAACATGGAAAAACATGTACTGCAAATAGTTGTGTGCATTATATGTAATCATTGAACTATATGCATTCATTCCTCATTGAAAAGTTTAACTAAGACTTCATAAAAAATAAATTTTTATTTACCACCCTTTATTTACTTGAAATGTTAAATTGGGTATTATCTTAATAAATAATGCTTTTTGGAACTTACGATATTGATAAATCTTAATTTCCGCATCAAATTTATGATATAAAACCATAAAAATTGTGTTACAGGATCTTTAAAGTGTTCCTATCACCGCAACTAGTGCACTGTTTTCTTACCTGTTTGTAAAAGTCACCCTTCCGTTGTTTATTTTGAACTTGCTTCCCATCTCGAAGCAGTCAAACAAATGTTCTATATAGTTGGGTAGATTTTTGTTTCTGTGATCTGTCTCACCAAACGTTCCACATGCGTGTCGAATAAAGTTACCTAAATAATCGTGAATGGACAAATATTTCTGTTTTGAATAATTTTATATGTTTCAGTAACAAGGCAATTCAAATTAAGAATTTCAAATTCTTTGGTCGAATGTTACAAAAAGGGATGCAAGATTTAGAATCAAATATCGTTTGTAAAGCAACAATTCATCTGTGTCCTACTGAATTTCTTAAATGCCATAGGCCAGCTTCCATTGTGTGTGTGTGGGGGGGGGATTCAAGCGTTGATATTTTTGATATTTTTGCTTATTCATAACATACGCACCATATCATACTCGACCCTCTTTTGATAACATCAACAAATCGATTTGCCGAATAGAAGCACTTAACAATCGACAGACTAGAGCCAATGCTAGGGGAGGTGGACTTTCCATAGGCTATTTAGGGAATAATAATACCAAAATTTTAAAACAAACAGGCAATAGTCGGACCCAGTCGCACTGCGTAGAGGTGCAGGCTGACCTAACTAGTGCTGGCAACAACTTATCAGTGCAGGCTGACCTGGCTAGTGCTGGTAACAACTTATCACTGGCGGTCGAAGGGAGTAAGTGTTAATGTCAGAGGCTATTTCAGATGCCTGCAAGAACCGACAAGCTAAGACCAATACTTTAAAGTGTGGATAAGTATGTACCACTGAAGCCGGTGCTAGGGGCACTTTAGGAATGTTGCACTTATTCATTATCCCACATGTACCGACTAAATCAAACCGAATCTGCAATTTTCATGTAATTGACTGTTTTGTTTTTGATTAATGCTTCCGAGGGAGAACTTTGCTCCAGATTTTTTATAAGACCCATCAATATCAAACAAGACTGACATCACCATGATAACACTTTGGTTCACAGTATGCAAAATGCAAAACATCATTAACTTTAATAATGAAATATCTTTTAAGAATATACATGTCAATTAATCTTAACTTATTTGAATACTACAGTTATTTTGTAAAACACCAAATCACGCGATAGCATATATACATGCAATCCTTCTTTAAAGAAGTAGGCTTACATGCAGATTAGATCTCTATTTTTCTATCAATCATAATACATATATGACCGTTATTGTCTGTTTATTTAATACTTAATAACATTGTTCTATGATCTTATAAGAAATTTTGAACAAAGAGCAAATTGAAATGTTTTATATTTTTAATTTGTAAAAAAAAAAAAAAATGACCACGTAAGCGTAGGAATATTTCCCCCAACAATTAAATGGACTAAAGATTAATTTCAAGAATTTTAATTACCTGACAACCATGTAGGAATTGTTCCTTTTTCATATGTGACAGGACTGTTGATGGTTTCTTTGACGATATTACCCAGCCCAGCTTTCAGCATCTCAGTCAGCGCGTCTCCGCTATACGCATGCGCAGACAGCACAATAAGTAACCCAGCGAGACAACTAAGATTTCCATGTGCCATTCTTACTTTGATTTAAAATAAGTGACAATTGAGCCGTTTCACGACATAACCAACATAAAAGGTTTGCGACCAGCATGGATCCAGACCAGCCTGCGCATCCGCGCAGTCTGATCAGGATCCATGCTGTTCGCTTACAAACCCTATTAAAGTAGAGAAACTGATAGCGAACAGCATGGATCCTGATCAGACTGCGTGGATGCGCAGGCTGGTCTGGATCCATGCTGGTCGCAAACCCATTATGTTGGTTTTGTCATGACACGGCTCAATTATTTAAGAATTGACATAATCAACAAATGGAGAATTCGTTCTTAAATGGACCATAACATTGAGTTTTTCACATGACCGGACTGATTTTATTGTATTTATTTTTATTTATTTTTAGATTTTTATAATATTTGATGAATGCCGATGCAAATAATTCGTGTGCAAAATTTCAAATCCTTCAGTTTTTTTTTCTACTTTTCCAGAATAATCATATTTATTGTACAAAATGACCTTAAACTGGAAAAAAAACAAACTAAGAATTGCACTAAATAACATTCATCAATTTATCATCTTTTGCACATATTTTCCGTAACACTGTAGTACCCCAGTTGATAAAAAGTAAGATATATGAAATATGAGGTTTTGTTACCCCATTGTGGTTCTTTCAAAGATTTTCATATTATATTCAACTATTTAATGTCAGATTGTAGGAATCACGTAATCACGTAATTACAAATGCTTAGTTATGAAATATCTGCTTTATAAAACATTTGCTATAAATTATTTTTCTTAGATTCTGCACGCGTGCACGTTGTTTTCATACACGTGCGTTCCAGTATGAGAATAATGAGGGGGGGGGGCAATTATATATAAAACTTTTCCATGTTTAAAGTAAACTGTTGTCATAAGCATTAAGATGTCCCCTTTTGTAAATTTTGATAAAATCAAAAGTTTGTTCACGTTTTTAAATACAATACCGTTCATATTAAAGATAATTAAAAATTCATTGAAAACAAAGAAAATGTAAGCATTATTTTAAAACATACATACCAAAATTGCACTCACTTATATCATTGATGTATTTATAAGATTTTACTGATGACCCAGATACAAATATACTGATAAACCCCGAAGTGAGATAAGTACACTTTTAATTGAAGGGGCATAAACTTAAGATATTTTAGGGGGGAAACGGTAAACTCGCTTGAATAATAATAATGACATAGTGTGGCACATAAAATTCAATTATGTTCTTAATGATGTTGAAATAGTAATTATGACTTAGAATAGCTATTATAGCAATATATATTTTGTTGTTCTGTTCGAGGCCGAGTGATTAAAGTCGTTCAAACCACTTGCCCTTCATCGCTGAGAGTTTGATGCTTGACATAGTCTTTTGATGGTTCTACTTAGGTGCCCTCACGTGTCTGAATGCACGAAAGGGCACCTGAGGTTGTCTTTTAACAGTAAAGCCGTTATGTCGCCAAATGATCTAAATAGTGAAGCGAGATTTAAGAAATAAACGGCGGATCACGGTACGAAAACACTAATTGGCGGAAGCGGGGCGAAGTTTTATTTATTAAACGAAGTTTTATTTATTAAACTTTGCCCCGCGCCCCCGCCAATTAGCGTGTTTTCGCTCTCCGCCCCCGCCATTTTAACTTGTTCATTATCGACTTTTCGCTTGGCGGGGTCGCGGGGTGAAAACACGAATGACACAAATCAGCCACCATATTATGTGAATGTAAAAAGTAAAGGCGGTGAAAAAATCAAATTTCATCATGTCATTACAATTTTCATTACATACGAAATGCATTAGACGATGCAATTTCATAGTACTATGCTCAGATCCTCAGATAAGATCGTGTGGGATCACGTATCTAGCAACCGCTATAAATAAGTGTTTTGCATTCTATGGAAAAGATTATTACAAAAAAAACTAATATTTTAAATTTCTGAAATCCATTCCTTTTGATTGGACGGTGACAATATTTAAGTCATTTTTGTTACATATGTTACTAGTATTTTATATGCGCAAAAGTTAAAATGTATCACGTTTTGTTCATCATTCAATTCGAATTAACATTGATCTCACAGTAATAAAGTATATACACCCGTGCAGGGGCGTAGCTAGGATTTTGAAAAATATACGCAAAGCGAGGCACGAAGTGCCGAGCGGGGGAGGTTGTGGGAGGGGGTCCGGGGGCCACTAGTGGGGGTCCGGGGGGCCTCCCCCGGAAAATTTTGAAAAAATAGATGTTAAATGTGGGCTCTGGCATGTCTTGAAGAACCTTTCGCACGTAAAGCATGGAGCATTTTCATCATTTTTTTGCCTAAAAACATACAGCAGCTCTTTTTATTTTTTAACTTATTTCATTATAACTTCGAATAGATTTGTGGAAAAAATGCAATGTTCGCCTTGTAGTTATCTTATTTAACACGTGCATATAAGCATACACAACAATTTTTCCATGTGAAGTTCGACTGAGGATGCAGATCATGTAATTGGTTTAAATTATGTATGAATGCCCGATCAAATGTAAAACGCAATTAATCAGATAACAAGTTTATATCATTTCTGATCAATCAGTTTCGTAAGAACAACTTGCTCGGAGAACACTTCTATTTCATCGTAAGAAAGTCAGGAAACTTACCAGATACAAAGAGATCGTAAATGGTCTAATTAATGACCATTGAAACTCTTTCGACCACTCCATAGTTCTCCTCTGGCGGTGATGAGAAAGTAACAACGGACTTACCCATAGATATCCCCGCGACAGTTTGTTTTTTTTCTTTTTGTGTTTTTGTTTTTGTTTTTTTTTGTTCAAAGGTAACAAGCTAGTTTTTTTTTTTTGCTTATCGATTTACTCGTCATCAGAGGATGCGTCTCTCTCGGCATTGTCAAAAACGATTGCAATTCGTCTATGACCCGATGCATCAAAGTCACTCAGCACCTTGTCAATGTCTCTGGTGTGACTGCGGTGGATATGCAACAGAGCAAGACCACTGAGTCGCTGTTCTGACATGGTGCTGCGAAGGTACGTTTCCAGTCTCCTTAGACTGCTAAATGACCTTTCAGCTGTTGCTGTTGACACTGACATTGTCAAAAGTATCTTGAAAATGATGTGGATGTTCGGCAGAAATTGGTAGGTAGCATCGACGCCTTCCACAAGATTGTTGACCATAGCGCCATGAGATAGTCGATGCCTCCACACCTCAAGTTCTGTGTCAAGTTCATCCATGTCAATGAAATTGGCATATTCGTTTCTTATGTCCTCCATTATTTCAGGTGTCAGCTGAGCAACTTTGTGTGACAGGCATGGCAGATAGCTAGGTTCAGACGGTGGTTTCGGCAGTGGACATACTTAGCATGTGGATACGCCTCAGCAAACCTTGCTTGCACGCCACGAATCCTGCCCGCCATGTTCCTAGCGCCGTCGTACCCTTGGCCAACATTCAATGCTGGGTCAAGGTCATGTTTTCTTATTTCTCCTGTCAGAAGAGTGGTCAGGGCCTCACCTGTTGTACTTTCAGCAACAACAAAGGACAAAAATTCTTCACGGACCACATGGTCACCCGAACTTTCCCGATCAACGTAGCGTACACAGAACGCAAATTGTTCAGTGTCGCTCACGTCTGCAGACTCATCTGCCATAACCGTGAAGTACTTAGCGTTTTGGCATCGTTGGGTAATCGAGCTAGAAATTTGTTTACCACAGAGTGAGATAAATTCGTTCTGTATTTCTGGGCTCGTATACTGGGCATGTTTTGGTGCTGATGTCATGTGTTCCTTCAGAGAGGCGTCAGCTTTTGCACGGTAGTTGAGTAGAGCTCTAATGTTGCTGCGGCTTTCAATTTTACCGCGTAAGGCTATATTTTGTTGCCCACAAAGAATAATGGCCTCAATGATGGCTGTTAACGCCTCCCTGTTCTTTTGGACTTTCTGCCGGTAGGCCGTTGATCCGAACTCGACCACATTCTGCTCTTCCTTCCTGCAGATGCGTACAAAGTGGTCGGCTCTTGTGATGGAATTTATGTGCTCTTTTGATCGTGTGTGCCCATCAACGACTTTCCTTGCGTTGCTCCAGTCAATCAACGGACGAGCAACAAGCACATTTTCAGCTGCATTAAAGGCAAAACATGGAGCACAAAATACCCCATCAAGTAAAGGGCTGTATCTTAAGTAGGGATGCTTTTCGTGCTCAAATACAAAGTCCGGTACTCGCCTACTTGCTGCCCTTTTTCCGAGTTCTCTGAGAGGTGCAACCCAACCTCTATGTGGCTCGAACCGTGTGGTAAGGACAGCATATTTTTTAGAATCTGGCATTCTAAGTCGGCATTTGGTATCAAGACTTCCGATATCCAGGAATCATGCTCCAAGGGAGCTTGTAACGGTTCTAGAGGGTTCAGAAGAAGAAGCAGAGGAAGATACAGGGGAAGAGGAAGAAGGGGGAGAAGGAGACGCGACATTGGTGTCTTATTTGCTGATCACAAGAGGGTCACATGCCATGTCTTGTGAATTCTGCTTTGTTTCTTCCTGGCCAGATTCATTATTGGTTTGAATGAGGTCCTGTTTAAGCACCTTAAACAGGGTCGCTTGTCCTGGAATTTGGCGGATGTTTCTTTGAATTTTGATAACCGAGTTGATGACTTAAATTTAGATTAATGAAAATTGAAGATTTTAAGTTGTTTTAAATTAGAGATATTCCAAAGGAATTGTTCTTGAAAGGATTGATTTAATTCTTTAAAAAAAGTCTTGATAATCTTTTTTTTCCGAGTGTGTAACCAACGATAAGTTATTATGAGCCTAGTTTAAGTAACGAGATTCCTTATTCCATGTAGATTAATCAATGCTGAGATTTACATTTATCTCTGCGCAATAGGTTTGTAAATGCTTCGAGTTTAATAGAAACTTACATTCCTATTGCACATAAATTACAATGATAACTAGAAACGTCACACGATCGAGAGTGACGCAATCATAGTTTACACTCATTACATAGTACAAGTAATTACGTCATAAACTAAACAGTAAGACGCAACGAAATATTTTGTAAACAAAAAGGGATAAATTATTTAGATCTATAGCGATAAAATCGTTAAAACTTAGATTTTCTCTTCTTCTTTTTTTTTACCTTCGGATTTTTTTTATACGCAAGTGCGTATTGTGCGTAATGGGCACTACGCCCTTGCCCGTGTACCCGGTGTTTGGGATCATTGGTTCCAGCACTTTTAAGTGTTGAAACAAACCGGTGCTTGGGGGCGTGAAGGATGTTGCACTTTTTCATTATCGCTCATGTACAGACTCACAATTAAACCGAGCCTGCAATTTTTATGTGATTTTGTTATGATTAATGCTTCCGAAGGATCACACTTTTTCGGATTATTTTACATTTGCAGAAGTTGAAAATAATAATCTGAAATAAAACGAAATTTTCAACCAGAATAATTCAAATCTTTATGTTTCTGTGTGAAATATAACATCACTTTACTCAGTTCTTAAAACAAATTCGTAAAATTTTGAGTCTGAAATGTGAATACTCTTATGTATATAAGTACGGTACGAAAGGCCGGTGGTGACATTTTACTTCTTGAATTCATCTAATCTTCACGAATTCATGCACAATTTCAACTTCATCAATTCACGAAAACCAAAAATGACTAATGAACGAAATAACAATAACGATGCATATACAAATGGAGACTTAAAAAAACTTATTGAAATACTAATTCATGGTAGGGACGAAAGTGTTCAGTCTTTATAAAACATGGTACAGAATATAAGCACACAAGACAAATGAAAAACAAAGGAGATTTTATTTTTTCGCCACAATGTCTGAATGATCCCTTTGAAGCATCAAAAACAGCAAAATTACACGGACACTGCAGACTGGGTTTGATTGAGTTTGTACATCAGAAGTCAAACAGGCAAAAAAAAATAAAAATAATATGAGCCACTTGAATCATTTTAAATATTCTAAATTGTATAACCTTTATATTTAAACTGAGTATTTGTCGACCAAATTAAAAGTTATAAATATTTGAAAATATTTTCTTGTACATTTTATGAGGATATTAAAATCCAGATTGCAAAAAGCACGGCGACACATATCAGTTTTTCCATTTAAGTAACCTGAGAGATACAATTGTGTCAAATTTATAGTTATAATTTCCTGTTAAATTAATGTAAAGAGGTTTTATTGGGTAATATGCTTTTTAAGAGTTACGAGATAAAAAAAAAACATTATCAACGAACATGAACACAATATTTGCGTGATAAAAACTGATTGGAAAGGAAAATTGTTTGCTTTGCCTCTTTGCCTTTTGTGTTGTGCAAACAGCTGATGTTTCTGTTCATTGAATATTAAAAATCGAGTATACAGAATTTTCTCCTAAGAGTCTGGTCGGGGTGTAGGAAAAAATATATTCACCCGTTCAAATATAAAACTTGGCATTAAAATTGTAAATATTAAAAGGACAAAAAACCGGCCGCCAAGAAAGTTACCAGCGACTCCATAGTAAGTACTAAATAACTTATAAGATATGCAAGTTAAAAAAAACAAACAAACAATAAAAAACAATAAGCATATCTGATCTTGATTTTCAATTGTTCTGAATAAACTAAAGGTTCTAGAATAAATGTTGTTCATACAGTGGGTCAAATAATATAAGATATTAAGTAATTGATTAGAAATTATAACGAATATTTTAGGCTATCTTCGTCAAATTAAAATGTAACGACTTAAGTACATGTAATACGCTTTTTTCAGGTGTTTTTATAATATTATACAACATTTTTCAGGTGTTTTTATATTACTATACAACATATTTGATTTTTCACTCTTAGACTAGAGGTATTGTTTTATTTTGAGAATCTCACACAACAAGTATCGTTTATTTTGTATTTAAATCCATTATATTAATAGGTTACATTTAAATATATCGTATACGACATTATAATAAATATCTGAAAATTGAATGCATAATCAGGGTACTAATTAGATATAACTATTCTAAAGCTCTGATCAGACTTGCCAAGAAGAAAAAAACTAAACTAAAAACAACAACAAACAAACAAAGAAAATGTATTTTGCTAAATTCAGAATATGTTTACTTTTATGTCGTCAATGACATGTTTTTATGCTTTCCTTGGAAATAAACAATATGCTCGTTTTATTTTTATTGGTTCATTTGTTACAGCTAATTAGGACGTCAACTGATGATGATGATGATGATGTTTGAAACAATGATTTAGCAATAAAACCTGACATGTTTGTGCAGATAAAACAAGTTGAAGACTTAAGCTACAAAAGATAAAGCTATCACGACATATAATGAAATAATAAATTCTGTGTCACAGAGGCTAAATAAATATATTTTACTTTCTCGTCTAATGGAGTTTATTTGAGTTCCATTGCTCATCATTAACATTCAGTGTACTTTCTTTTACAATAGAAAATTGTCCCGGATTAAAATGGACCATTAAAGAAATATTGATACCATTCATTGTAATACAAATTAATGTTACATTATTTTTACATATTATTCCCATTGTTATAAATGACCCTTACTTACACCCATTTGCTAATGAAATATATCCTGTTTTTTCTTCCGTTGTAACTTGAAATGAATTTATTCAGTTGGTTTAATTGTACATCATTGAGTTTTAACAGCTCGTTTTGGTGTTGCGTGAAATGAAAATCAGGTTATATTAACATACGATTACGAAATATGAACAGAGACATATTAAATGTACCAAAATAGCAATCCTGAATACATAAGAAGTGGGAATATATAAAAATAATTTGACCGGCGTAGGAAAATGTTCATGGTCTGCGTATGATTATACATGATATAAATATGCAAACAATATGCACAAACGTCATATTATAAAGCTTTTACCGCCATTTAGGAATATAGAAGCTTTCCTGCTATAATTGAGTCTATAGTCGTTTCTCAACAATGACTTTGTTTGGGTGGTATCTATTTACTAAGTATCCAATTTGTTCCATATTCGGGCACTTTCCAGATACCATTTTCCACTTGTAGCGTTGCATCAAACTTGCAAAGATCAAATGAAGTTCCGGTTTGGCTACAAATTCCCCAAGACAAACTCTCTTTCCCGCCGAAAATGGCAACCAATTCTTAGGTTTAGGCCCAAGTTTACCGTTTTCGTCCAAGTATCTTTCTGGCATAAATCGCTCGACCTCTTCCCATTCATCTGGGTCGTTGTGTAAGGCCCAGTGGTTGATGTTCACAGCTGTTCCTTTAGGAATTTTGTAACCACCTGCAAAACACAGTACACCGTTTCAAACAAGAGAAAATCATTAAATAAATATTGCATGATGAGAAGGTTCAAAATTTCAACGAAACTAAGGAACAAACAATATATTATGCAAAACAAGTTTGGCCTCCAATGATTTTCCCTGTCCTACAGACCGTCATGCCCAGATACTGTATATAAAACTCTAAGACCGGCAACACAAAGAACATCTAAAAATAAATCAAATATTTTTTGTTGTATTAACCGAAACTGGAAAATAGAATTATCAAAAACCGCTCACCAACTTCAGTGTCACAAAGAGTCATGTGTTGTATTCCTAAAGGAACAATTAGTGACAGACGCATACTTTCATGAAGCACAGCTTCTGTGTAACTCAAATTTGGCAGGTCATCAATTCCTGGTAATCTGTCCTTGCCTTTATTTCACCAAAGGAAATAAAAATATATCATTTCTATATGATGTTTTAAGTATCAAATAAAGGACTTAATTTTTATGACTGAGTAATAAATCACAAACCATCTGTACGATACACTGTGAATGTTTATATTATAATGCTGGACAAAATAGTATCTATTTTCATTATATTACTCTCATTGAAAAGAAATCAGAAGAATTGTTGTTGAGACAATAAATGCACCACTATGCAGGGCAAATTAGAGTTGCCATGAACCCGACTTGCATCAAAGGCATGGCTTCTATAAAAAAGTGTTTCCATAATATAAAAACATTAACAAATATTTTCTTATATTCTCAGTTAGCCCAATTATTTAAATTCCGCAAATGAATGACAAAAATATGACTACACAACCATCAATGTACAATTATGGCACTGTATATTCATCATGTTTTATACTGTTAACATGGTCTTTAAATGTGAGAAGTTTTCCTAACGTGCCACAGAAGTATGTTTAGTTGTTTCAAAATCCCTTTATGGATGATAGAATTGATGACTGGATATAACCATCGGTGTTCTTTTTATGAAACTATAAAATACCTAGCGTGACCCTGATCGTTTAGTTACAAACTCATCACAAACTGTTTCTTTACACCAAGGTATTATAAATTTGGTCACAGTATGACAAAAGTCATGGACTGGGCATGGCTATCAATGCACCTCCATGTCATGATGTTTGACATTCAAGTATAAACTTGACCTTAAGGCTACTGAGCTAACTTATCCACTTATCCCCATTACATATCATCATGGCATGCAACATATTTATGCATAGATGCATAGTTATTTTAAGATCCACACATGAATGACAAAGCTTTGCCCCAAAAAAGACAAAATTTTCACAATTGTCAAGTGTGACATACAAGTATGACCCTAACATTTAAACTAGTTTTTTGGCCTATATGCACGATCATGTATTAATCATTTATATCAAATTATTTATAAAAATTCATATCATGACTTTTATCTACAATCTACAAGACTTAGTGTGAACAAACTTGACCTTTGAGGTAGAAACCAAATGCTTGCGCTATGCACGTCGTTCACATCTATGCATAATGATTCTTAAATTCATTCTTCATTTACAGAATTGTTAATCATTTGCTTGTATCAAACGATCTTCAATGCATATTTATTAAACTTTCCTTTGAAGTTTGACCTTGACCTTGAAACTTCAGGCCTAGATGTTGTACTTGACAAATTGTCCAAATGTGCTCAAATCCATCCATAAATGACAATATAGGGGAAAGACTGACGGACGGAAGGACGTTCGCTACAAAAACTATTGTTTGGGGACATTAGTATATTAATAAATGAATTATTTCAAAGAAATATTACATTTCGGGGGAAATGCGATTTTGTTTAAAAAATCTTTAAAGAAAATGTAAGGAATATTATCATCTCACCAACGACCCTGTCTATCTCTTCTTGAACCTTTTCTTGTATATCAGGAAAGGCCACCATGTAAAGTATTGTGCCTTGTAGTGTATACCTTGATGTGTCTATACCAGCTAAAATTTAAACGTACCTATTTTAGATATTGCTCGATATTGTGAGGACTTTAATCTCATTTCGCGACTTTGAACGGGGAAAGTAGGTAAGTTCAGAAACAATATTTTCTAAACTAATGGCTATTTTGATTATCTCAACGGGTTTTAAATATCCAGAGGTACTTCTTGTAGCTCTTAAAGACATCAAAGTAAAACAGGTATTTGTAAAATTGATTAAACTACCTCTAAACGATCGGCTGCTCACTAGAAAATATTGACCTCGATACTGTAGAACCATTAGCAATAATTATATTACCATGATAAAAAAGAATGAATCGAGCAATTTTTATTATTCATAATTCAAGTATGCTTAGTCCAAATTACCGAAGTGTACCGAGTATTAGGTTTTAGTGTACAGAGTATTGCAAAACAGAATGAGCAAATTAGAATGAAAAATCGATATTTTTGTGAAATATTTTCGTCTGTTTATCGATTAGGCCATTTTATTTTGCTGATAATGTACTGTTTATGATATCTATTCAAATATTTCGACTAAACAATGCAGTTTCAGTGTTATTACTGTTCTTTTTCTACGGACAAATACAGAGATTTCATTGAAAATCACACCTCTGATGAAATAAAGTTTAAGCGTGTTAATGAGGATGACATTAAAGTGGGTGCTTATAAGATAACGCCTGAACTTTGTCGGAAGCAGGGTAGAACCATCAAAATTGAAATCAAAATCTTTAAATACATGTCTCAAGAAACTGTGATCAGGAAAACAAATCTCTAAATAGAAAAAAAAAACATATTTAGAGTTTTTTAGAGGGCAAGAGCGCCTTAAGAAAGATATCGATACATTTAGTAAAATATTGGCCCGAGGGCCACTGCCGTCCAAGTATTCCGGTTTCGGCTTTAGGTAAACTTGCCCTGTATCATAACCTTATTATTGCATGTGCTATCCTGTATCATAATCTTATCAAAATTCATTTTTCGGTTTCAGACTGTTGTACCCGCTCGGCAGTCATAACTCATGGCTAATGACTAACACATTTCACGGTCTGCCGTTGCTAGAATACAGGTGTAAAATGACCGAAAGTTACCTTTATATGGATTTCTGGAATAGTAGGAAGTGGGTTGATATCAGATATTGACACACTTGCCCAATACCGGCTAATATTGACAATCTTGAGGCAGCATCAATGCACTTTCAATGCAATTTAATTTCGTTTCTATTGATAGTAAGATATGCAATAATTATTAATAAATTCTGAAAAAGTTGATTCTTTGATAGCAACGAGGACTTTGTAAACACAGGACATTGCAGACTTCTTTCATAATCAGGAATGAAAATCTCACAGTCTATGGATTATTTGCAGATGTTTCCAGTAACGTACATCCGAACTCTGCATATTCTGCACATATATAGTGTCAATAAGTAAACACAATAAGAAATTTTTAGTATTGAATGTGGTAAATGCCCTGTTATTACTCCTCGCATTTACTCGATATTAATTACCAATACTCGTTACACTAAAAAGCAATACTCGTGACACTGACATGTGTATTTATTCTAAAAATGCGCTGTAAACTGGGATTCAATTGTTGATTGAACATATACAACATAAACATTATCATCGTTATCACAATTGATTCGATTCAAGATTTTCTTTTAAATGAAGTATATGCACAAAAACATCAAATTTGACTGATCCGAGCTCATTTATAATGTGAGCAAAGAGACGAATTTTACCCCCTAATTACATTTTAAAGCTATTTCCAACATTGCAGTAACTAGAGAACCTATCGAAGTAGTTGTTTTTCTATAAAATTTATATCAAACAAATTCAAATTGACAAAATATCATGGCTGAACTTACCTTTGTTTCCCGTTCAAAGTCGCGAAATGGGATGAAAGTCCTCATAATATCAAGCAATATCCAGGGTACGGTATATCGCAGATATAATCTTAAACAAACTTCTTAATAAATAAATATGAAACTAAGTTCATATCGTAAAGATTCCTTTCGAGCAGTGAGCATGTAGATCTGCTCTGCCATTGCTTTTCTGATCGAAAAGAGTTTAGGAAAGTAAAAAGCGTAATCCCATTCGTTTTATATCTTATTAAATCCATCGCTCTATTATATTTGACTTTTGACATTTAATGATAGTCTAATGGGCGTTGGATATTTTCATTGTTCATGTAATTACCCCTTAATCCCTCCCTAATTGTGACCAGCATTAGAACATTGGACAGCTTTATTTAGAAAATCATTTGAAAATCATTTTATTGTTGGAAAGAACAAAGAAAATGGCTTCTCGTCATTTGGATTTTAAAGGAAACTCGATGAAGTCGAAAGTGCAAAAAAACAACAACAAAAACGAAAAACAGAAACAAAAAAAGCTTTTTACCAAAGAAAATGTTCGCTATTGTCATTGCTAGACGCTGTTCGGTAAAAGAATTAGCATCGACACCATCCTTCGCCAGCGCCTCTTTACGGGCGAGTATCAGTGTGTCGGTAAAATGACGTATCTTATCTGGAAATGAACACAAGAATTATGCAACAAACTGGCGAACATCTCGGTTTATACTAATGGAACTATATTTCAAGATTTTTTCCGAAAGGAAAATCTGTATATCATAACTGTGATTTTTGTATGATGTCATATTTTAAGACGGTCGTTTTTTACTTTGGTATGTTGATGAGAGAATAAGCATTTCACAGAGTCATACATGTAACTGCAGATGTTCCACCGTGAGAGTGATTGTGGCTGCGGGAGTTGAAACACTTGCCTTTTACTATTGCAATTTTGAATCCAGACTGGAACTTTGAATGTGATAAATTATGATACAAGCTTACAGAAGGCTATAATTGTTTTACTCAAACAGAAGTCTATTGTTAAACTAAAAAGGTCGAGATATTTGAAGCTTGCCGACCTCAGTAAAGATGTTACGTCGCCATAAAACATTGTATATTGTAAGTTTGACTTAAAGCCGCATGCCTCCAGATGAGCAAAATAAAATTGTAAAAGAAATCAACATATGGAAAAATGTACAAAGTTATTTTAAAAGTGAAAATATTCATAATTCAAGATATAATTAACAAGTTGTATACATCTGATGATTGATTTTGCAGTATTTATGACAACATTTTTACTACTTGACTAACGCAATAAGGACGATTTTTCCATATTCGATATTTTTTTGGTAGATTTCGTATATTTTAGGTACCACTTGCAATGGTTTAATTACTTCCATTGTTCACTTGACGATATACTAGTATACTTTGTAATATATCTTGAAAAGTTGCATCCAAATAAGCATGAATCTGGAGGCGCGCTTCTTTAAAGTCTAAACCAAATATTTATACGGTTGGTACTCTGCTATTTATCATTATGATACCTTCATCAAATGTTTCAACCGCCTCCTTTAGTTTGTTTGAAATATAAACATCAAAAACCTCGTGAACGAATTCTTCTAGGGATTTTGTTGCATCTGATTTGTAAATATATTTTAAGTCCCGGAATAAAATCTTCCACTGCTCCAAGTCCAAGCTTATCAAAGAGAAGATCTCTCTTCTCTAGTATATAATGCACCTCTTTATCCTCAAATGTGTACCTTTTGTCAAATGATATGTACATGCCATGCATGAAATATAGTAGATAAAACAGAAACATTGAAGAACAATTAACACTGCAAAATTGTAATTGTGAAAAGTTATTTTTGATTGTGACTGTTGATAGACTACAGTGATAAATAAATGCAATAATTCTATTATTATATCATTAAATATATGAAAAGACATTCATTTAATAATATATGAAATGGTATATAGTATATATACAACACGTTGATTGTATCTGTTTCTCTCCCTTTCCATTTAATTTTGATTTGTTGTCAAACTATACTCGATACTCTTTGACTCTTTAGCGATTTTAGAGGGAACTAAATTCCTGCAGGGACATGGAAAATGATAAAAATGCCCTAGGCTACAGGTCCTTTTCTTTAGCAATGGTATCGTTACTTTATCTTTTCGCTCCTGGACCCACAACCAAAGGTTAATGATTACATTGCATCTTTTCCCACTTACCTAGAGGTAAACTGATAAAAAACCCCAAGTAATCCTTGCATGTATCATTGCTATACACTGGGCATTTAAAAGAACCAAGGGGTCTTTTTAATAAGAGTTAGGACTGGTTCCCGGATTCCTTGATATCTCATAGCTGTCTCTGGAGTCTGCTGAAGAAATGACCCAACTTGAAATAAGCGTTTGCACTTTCCTAGGTTATCCGCCTGGTCTAAAGAAAATCATTCATTCATTCATTCTTCGACGTGCATTACACACCAAAACAATATTCCTATAACAGTTTCTGTTGTTTCTTTAAAAGGCGAGTCATAGTATATGGGGGACAAACGAGAAGCAGAATGTTTTCGGCAAGTGTCATTATCGTTCAAAATGTATATTTTAATAAGAGAAGATGTCAAACAATATAGTAGAGTACATACTTTCCTCCGAAACAAAATCCAGTGAGAATATTACCCACTATAAAGTTGATATATTCTACAGGATCGAATTCACCTTGTAGTTTGTCCACCTCAACAAATGTTGTCTTCATAGCTTCATGAACGCGCGTTTGTAAAGCGTTACCTTTCATGTAATGCCTGTAAAGAGTAAGAAGAGCACTTTATATCTTATCTCGTAGTACATAAGTCATTCGAATCCTTAGTCCATAGATACTTGTGAGGATTTTATGAAATGCTTAAAATATATATTGGCTATGATTATAATTATGCATATAGTGTATTTGGCTCTGCTGGGCAAACAGCTGGTTCTAGAACACAGCTTATCAATAAAGTGAATAACAAATAAATTTTCAAACACTTGACTATAATTTTTACCGTAAAGCATTTGTTGCAATTGCCCTATGAAGTTTCCATGTTGGGCTGTAACTACTGAAAACAATGTCCTTCCCTCCACTTGATAGCTTATCAACTTTGAAAAAGAAAACACAATTATAAATGATGAGAACACATATTCAATGCATGCAAAATTGTGTCGGTTTGAGCGTTCTTTAGGGATTCAGTGTTTCTCCTTTTTGTAATCATATATATGTATAAGAATAAAAAGATTAGATACACATAAAAGATGAATTTGATGTACTAATAAGTAAAATAAGTAACAGTTGTATGACTACATACAAAGCCAAGTTTCTTTTCTTTATGTCGTCAATAAAAATTGACATTGACGAAATTGACATTTAGAACAACCTTGTAGTGATCAGATATTATTGAAGTAAGGGAAAACACCAATTCGTATAAAAAAAACAAATGAGTGTGATTTAGTTATTAGGGTATAGTTCTTTCCAGTCACTTGTTGCAAGCAAAAGTTACAAAGTGACCAATGTCCGGGGAAAACATAAATTACAAGAAATAAATATTTATTCACTAGTCAAATGTTGACTTCAGTGCAAGCAGCGTGCCGAAAAATGGGGAAATGAACTTTTTGTTTTTTACTTTTAATTTTTCTCTGTTGAAAAATGATTGGACATTCCGTGCTGTCAGAGTGATACTCGATATTGTTTATCTCAATGCTAAATAATTAAATTAACAGGGTATCATGTCATAAAGGTATATATTTGATTCCCAGGTGTAAAACCAAATAGTGTTGTTGCGTATACAATAAATATTCAGTTGCCACTTTGTTGGTATACACATGTTTAAATCTTAAATTAATTCTACTAAAACCGGCGCAAAGAGACGCGTACTAAGAAACATTTTACTGAAAACCCATTGAAACGGCTCAATAAAATTTGGCATGCAATATTGTAGATTTAGGGAGTCCGTTTTCTCCATCTTATTTTACCGCGTCATAAAACGTATAGTTTCCAATTTTTATCAAGTTATGGTGCTATATAACGTATTAAACATGTATAGTTTGAGACAATATTGATTTTAAATTGAGACGATAAGGTGTAATTGACCGTCTTTAATAACAGAATAAATTTATAGATATAAAACAAGTGTATTAACTTTAAAATTAAATTGTCAACTTTAAGATAACATACTAACATGGTGTAAAAAAAAACTTGACAATAACTTACCTGATGGTGTCAACATACGCCCAGCAAAATCTGTAGATTTTCTTACAAGTACTTCTAAGGCAGTTTCTATTGTATTCACAGTTATAAAATGTACAGGACCTAAAAAGTACCATGGAGTCTTATATTCAAATGAAAACATTCTAACATTTATTCTTTGATAATTATGATCGATGATGATGATGTAGGTAAACTAGGTAATCATAATGACGATGATTGTGATTATTTGATGATAACATATAGCAACCCTTGTTGTACTCTTACAAATTTCCGTTTGTTTGGTTTAGGTCATATGGAGTCTAAACAGGAAAGTTGATTTTGGCTAACCTCGAGTGTTACGAAAATCAAAGCAATTTAATCCCTTCTTACGATCACGCAGGGTTAAGAAGAAGCTGTACTTTTTACGCCTCAACAATTAAAGGCAACCTATCAGTCATAAAGGGCTTAAAACTCATTGCCCGTTTTTTTTTAGAATTCAATTCTGTGTATGTATATAGTCTATGCTTAATGAGGGCCCATCCAGCAAAATTCTCAAAGAGGACATATTACCAGCAGAAAGACGATCCTCAGTTTAACTTCCATAGGGTATTAGCCAAAGTAATGAATTCTTAGCTGAACGTAGGTCACTGTATAACCGTAGGTGAGAACCTTCACGTTCATTAACAAGTGGCAATAATGAAGGGCGTTAGCGCTGTGGCCATCAAAGGGCACCGCAATTCAAGCCTTCTCTCGTACTTAGAGCTCAAGCATTTAGGAACCTTCTCTAGTTGTCTCTGCCACCTTTTAGTCCATTCCTACCTTCACACAAACTAAGTTGTGCCGCCTTAAACGATGCAGTGGAGCTTTAATCATGTGCATCTTAATGACATGCACGTAGCGAGGGAGGGGATAACGACATTAAGGATATTTAAATCAATGAAGTCAGGGTTGTGTTTATTTAGTGAATCGTTATTTATGTCTTTGAATTGTAAACACGACTGAGCAGAAGATTTAAAAGTTATATATACTACTCAATTTTTGCTCCTGGATGTTCATGGGTTGCAGCTGACGAGCTGATATGTTAACCTGCAGCTCATTCCACACGTGTTCTATTGGATTTAAGTCAGAGTCAGGTGAGCGATTTTGCCAGTCCATGCGCCCAATAGACCCACTCTCTATGTAGTCTCCGACCACTCTGGCCCTATGGGAGCAAGCATTTTCTTGCATTAGAATGAACTGATCGCCGACTGTTCCAGCATTCAACCTTATCTGTTTGTCTAAGATGTTGTCTATGTATCGCTGCCCTGTCAATGTGCTTCTATTAGGACAACCAGTTTGGTTCGTCCATCCCAGCTGATGCCCTCTCACACCATAACTGACCCAACTCCGTAGCTGTCATGCTCAGGAATATTTGCAGCCTGAAACCGGACTCTAGCACGCCTATTTGTGAAGTCTATGCAGAATCTGGACTCATCAGTAAACAGAACGTGTCACCAGTGTTGCATTGTCCACCGTGTATGCTCAATGGTCCATTCCAAACGGGATTGGCGATGTCGTCTCGTCAAGGGGATACCTATGCAAAGTCTTCTTGAACGCGCAGCCTTTACGTATCATTTGCGTGGAAACACGGACCCCGCAGCATTAGCAAGGTCATTTCGAAGAGAAGTTGCTGTCGAAAACCTTGTACGACGTGTCTGAACGACCAAAAACCGATACTGATCTTGTGTTATGACCCTTTGCCGACCTCCAGCATGCCTCCTGGCGGGTGTACCATGTAGCAAGTATCTCTTCCTGGTTCCCGCGATGACGATGTGGTGTAACCCAAGCGCCGCACCAACCTGGCTAAAAGTGGTCCCCTGTTGCATCATCCCTACATACTTCCTGCTTCCGTCAAATGCCGCCTAATGTTTGCCTTCGCCATATCGAAGTGTATGGAACGCCATAGCTGCCTCATGCTATCACATTTTTTTTTATCTTGCCCAGAAAGCGTCTTATTATGTCAAATATAAGAGTTGTAATGCCACTGTAATTTGTCGACTTGTCTAAACATTGCCTTATTATACCTAACAGTAGTCTTATCTCTTTAAAATATGATGTTGACGTGTGTTAAAATTGTTTAATTATTTCAAACAGTAGTGTTATCATGTCAAAATGTATTTTTGGCTTGTCTGAAATGTGCCATATTATGTCAACTAGACGCGCTATTTTGTCAAATTGTGGAGCTGTTTTTTCAAAAGACTGTCTGATCATTTGAAACAGTAGTGTTCATTTGTCGATATTTGATTTTGACTATTAAAAGCACAGCTTTATTTTATAAAATTGCCATGTTATTTTTTCAACTTACGGTGTTAAAATGCCTAAACATTGTCTTATTGTGTCAAACAACTGTGTTAATTTGCCAACGTACACTACTGAATTGTCTTTTTATGTCAAATATTTGAATTATCTTGCCGAAATGGAGTGTTGACTGGGCTAAATCATGCCTTATTATGATAAACTGTATGCTATTTTGTCAAAAAGCAGTTTTGACTGGTTAAAACTCAGTCTTATAAAGTCAAAAATTGCGGTATCTTGTCGAAATGACTGTGGTAATGACTTGTCTAAACTCTTTATTATAATGTAAAACAGAAGTAATTTATCGTCGAACTTTGATACTTTCTTGTAAAACACAGAAACAGTCTTATTATGTCTAATAATTGTGTAAATTTCTTCAAATTTAGTTCTGTCTTGAGAAAGCGCTGTCTGATTTTGCTTAACTGTCCCGTTATCACTTATCGCTCCGCGCGGGCTCTGATCACGTGATACTAAAATATGATAAACAAGATCAACAAGGAAAGGCGGCGTTCAATGAACGCAACCCCCATATGACCCAGCCACATGAACCAGTGGCAAGGAGCCAAGGCGGACCCCAAACAAAAACAGGACAGTGCAAAGACAGAGCACGGACAGGTTAATCATTAAATGATAAATAATTTGTAACTGATTAGGAATTCAAAGAAAAGAATAATCGGCCCACAAAGGGGAAGGGCACAGGAGAACGGGGGAAGGGGGTGGGGGCTGTAATCAAAGAAATAAATTTTGACAACATCGCATCTGGACAGGATAACACGATTATCTGACATAACGAGACGGCATTTAGACATGTTAACGTCATAAACTAGCAAGTCAACGCCACTGTATAACATAATGATAATGTGTTTCAACAAGTAAACACCACATTTGAAAGGGAAAAGAGATACTTTGCCATAAAAGGACAATGTTTAGTAAAAATAACACCGAACCTTGATAAAATAAAATGACACTGACAAAAAGATAGTAATTTTAGACAAGTCATCACCATGTTTCGACAAGATGATATGACTATTTGGCATAATAAGACGAAGAAAGACAAGTTGAATCTGCATTTGGACATAAAAGCATGGCAGTTTGACAAATTAAAATAGTGTTTTAACAGTTCATAACCATAATTTGTAAAGATACCACCATTATTTCACATAATGAAACGGTGTTAAGGCAGGTTAACATAAAGTTTGGATAAAAAAGCACGGTGATCTGAGAAAATAAGGCAGTGTTTAGACATGTCAATACCATATTTCGACAAGTCAACAATACTGTTTGACATAATAAAATAATGTTTACACATGTATGTTATCGTACGTGTCTAAAACAATATGATTATATACAGTAAACATGGTAAAATGACAATATTTGTCGATTGAAAAGTATCATTTATTAAAACAAAATTGGGGAAAAAATATTACTAATCATTATCGTTAATCATTATTATATTAATTTATTAAAACCAAGTATATCTAATGAAATACAATAAAAAGGTGTTTGATAGAAACGTCTTATATACAATCCTTTAGTGAGAAGTGAATAAGTAGACCTGAAGCAGACATAAAAAGTGCCGGACAGTCCGCGTACCGTTTACCGTCGATCCATTTACAGCGCTTTTCACTAACGTCCTTTTATCCTCACACGTTCCTGTGAGACATTTTGTATTCGCCGTTTTTAAATTGAGTGTACCAGCTGAAAACGTGTGTCCTGATAGCAGGATAATTTTCCTTTCTTAATTTTATTATTTTGTATGTATCTGACAGAATATTGCCAATTTGTTGGCACTTTTTACCGATCGCACTAATTTCTGTTTGTTACTGAATGCCGTATTTCTGCATTTAATGACATGACCACAGCTGTTCAAAACTAAATAATTATGTCATCTCGTGACCAAATGATGTCAAATTTAGATATAATGTCACTTCAATATAAATAAAATGTGTTGATTGAATATATGGACAACCAGAGTATAAATTATTGATAAACCAGAAGTACAACTTATTCAGTGTTATTATATTTTTTCTGGTCCTTCGGGATCATTGATACCAGCACTATTAAGTGTTGAGAATTGAGTACCGCTCCAGCCGGTGCTATGGGGCGTGAGGGATGTTGCAAGTATTCATTAACCCTCATGTACAGACTCAATCAAACCGAGTTTGCAATTCTTATGTAATTTGGTTGTGATTAATGCTTGCGAGGGGTCACTTTGTTTCCAGATTTTTTTAGCTTCACTAACTATGTTTATGTGCTGCGCCGGGTGCGTGTTACCATGGTTATTCAATATCACATGAAACGCGCGTTCATCACAATAAAGTAATAAACTTATGCATAAATTGTAGAAAACATTTTACGATTCCTATACATATGAAAATATTCTAAATTTGATGGAATATGAATATGCAAGACTCTCAATGCTTTTTCTTTTTGAAAAACCCTCGTACACCTCATCAAAACATGAAAATATTGGGATGCATGCTTTCCATGCTACCTAGACGAGTTGTAATGGATAAGTCAACACGTATTCATGTCAGGGACTATCTCAAAACATTGCTGAATCAGAATTTTCAAAAATTGGAAAGGAATCTGTTTTATACTTTTGATAATATAATCTGTTTTATACTTGTGATAATATAAAAATTAATTTATAGTGCTTAGAAAAAGCGATTAGAATTTTTCATTCTGTATAACAAATATTACTCAATTCACACGAATAAGTGAAACATACAAAAATATACATTATTCACATTAAATTGGGAAAAAACGCTTTACCTGTGCGAATGGTTACCACAGGTCCATATTTCTTTGACCATTCAAACACTTGTTAAGAAAATCCTTTCGGATCGATTTCTGAAAAAAAAATAGTAGCAACTCATGATCCAGGTGGGATTTTTTGAAAACTACTCAAAAATTAAAACATCTCAATCAAATTTTGAAAAAATAAGTTTTTCAAAATGAAAAAAAAATAAATAAAAAAATAAAAACACTTTTTTAATATATTTTGAATTAAACATTTTGAACAGAATAATTTTGAACAAATTACGCAGTGCATTCCCAACCAGTGGCAGTCCAGGAGGTCCCGGTGGATAATTATATTTCCATTTTTGTAACAACCAGTAAACTACAAGTCCAACAACAAAGCCAACCAGACATGTGCTTGGTATTGAACCGGAAAGAGTGATCCATGACATTTTCCTGTGAAACAAGACAATAATTTAAATATGAATAGTAATTTCCACAACAAATAATAAGTTTGCCAGCTTTGCAAATCTATCATTCTTATCAAAATTAAGTCTGTTCTCTCCGTGAAACAGTGTACAAGATGCTCGTATCTTAACCTAAAGAAAGCTGAATCAAATACCTATAAGTTAGCAAAGATTATGTTTCCTCACAAGACAAGACTGATTAGTTCATGATGAAGTACGGAAAATCGCAGTGTAATCGAGACATTATTTGGAAATGTCGAGGGTTGACCGTAAAAAGAAATACTTTAGAAGTCAACTCTAGATATGTAAAATCTATAAATATGCTTAACCGCAAATTTAAATAATCAAAATATACACTAACATAAGATGAATAATCTTTAACCAAATATGTTTAAATAGGCTATATTTTGGTGCGATAATAACAATTAATTTTATCTCTGAACAATCTGACGCGTAAAGTGGAACATATCTAAAACTACTTATTAATAAGCTATTTTAAAATACGCAATAAATTGAGTGCACCAACTGTAAAATCTCAGGGAAAACATCGACTATATTTGATACAGACGAAATGACATGATAGTGGCCCTTCATCGGCTACCGAGTTTGTAAGTAAATTTCAAACGTGTATAGGAAAAAACACAACCACTTCATTTAATTTGTTTATATTATCTAATATTGAAATATTTATTACTTGTTGAAAAAATTGTGAAGGGTCTTATATTGAATCCGATGCCATATTTTCTTCAATTTTGGAACATTTATGGTTCTATTGAGTGCCCGTGTATGCCTGAAATAAGTTAAAAACGGGCACCTCAAATCATCCTCCATCAGTGAAGATAAAAAAGCCGCCCAATGACCTACAGTGTAGATTCGACGCAAAAAGTACAATAATAAATAAAATAGAAAAATAACGTTAAATCGGGCCGAAGGACCATACTTAGAACAACTTTAGTAGACATGTACTAGACAATGATTCATACCAAGTACCAACGCTTTAAGCTTTAAGGTAAGGTGAATACATCTAAGATTTTGCTATAATTATAATAAAAAACCTTAATCTTTTGTACAGGGAGGGGGCAGTTTTGTAACTTTTAACATCGTTGTAGAGGTCTAAAGAACAATGATTCATGTCGAATATCTAACCCTTACCTGATTTATAGAGGAATTCTGAGTTTGTACTAAATGCATTTAATAAATCCCGGGACAGGACCAATTGAAAATAGGGGGCCATGATTTGAACAAACTTAGGATATACGATACATGACCCCTTGGGCGGGGCCAAATTCAACCTGAAGGCTTTGATTTGAAAAATTTTGGTAGAAGTTAAATTATCAAAGTAAGACAATTTTGAAGTGATTACATTTGTTAACAATATTATTATTTAAAAGATGATTACCAAAGGATCTTTAGTAATAATAGAGAAAAACAGAATGCCTAAAGAAAAGCCCAACACGGCAAAATTGTAAAATGTTGCAGGCTCGGTTTGATTGAGACTGTTCATGGACGGTACTGGAAAGTGCAAGATACCGTCCACGCCCCCTTGCATCGGCTATAGCAGAATTCAACATTTAAACACAAAAATGGTAACATTTTAAATTTAAAAACATCCCCAGATGTGTTCACAGTAGTGTCATGAAAGACGGCGTATGGTCACCAAGTAAAATAATGTGTGTACCCTTAACGAGAAAACAATGGGCGGAACTAAATAAAATGGAATTTTGGAAGGGGATCTGGGGTTATGAAGCCTGCATATCACAGACAAGACGGCAAAAAAACAAATTTAAAAAGCAGGCAACATATCCTCAGTTTGATATAATTTTGATATAATTAAGCGAGTGGTTTAGAAGATGTTGTCAATATAAGTGTGACCGACGAACGTTTTCCTATGTAGACTGTATGAATTTTCTTCTTCTTTTTATTTTATTTGACTTTTAAATCCCATAAGCAACGTATTTGGACCCCGTAAGCAATATTTTCCCTACAAGTACAAGTATGTACGAAATGAACACAGATATTTATGATCCCATAATGTCCGTACGGATAGACGCTGGGAGACGGGACAAACCCTGGTCACAATACAGCCTTTCTGGAGCAGGTTTTGTTCTGCTTAGCTGAATTAGATAACGTTATCATTCAAAGTTTATAAGTATCTATCAGACATTTGCCTTTTCACATTGTAACGAAAACTACTCACACGTTAATATATCCAGCAAATCTGTTTTTACAAAATGCAAATATTTGCACAATAATAAACACAGAACGGTTCACATAATGAAGGTAACATAAGCTAACGTACGGATGTCATTGAGAACACTAAAGAGTTATATAATCGTGATACAGTATTACGTAAACCAAACGATGTCTACTCAACCGTGCAAGTAAAGAATATCAGCAATATAGGCCACGTCTAAAAAATGCAGGGATCATATATTTGAAAATTTAAATAGTATTATAAAAGCTCCTCATTAAAGTTAAGCCTTGGGGATGCAACTTTTTTGAAAATATGTACTTTGTTATTATTTCGCGAGCTAAATATAAACTTTAGTAATTTAATCCTGTGTAAAGAGGAGGTATTTAATTTGGTATTGAATCAGTTTTTGTCTTACGATTTACATAACTGATATTGATAGTATTTTATGAATATTATATTATTCATTGCTGACAGTATTGCTTAATAAATGAATAACTACCACTTATCAAGGAATACTGTCTGTGTTTGAACAATTGGTATTTGTCACCATTCCATTCAAAAAAGAGATTTATTCAAAATACTTTCGAAAAATTGTTTTGACTGGGCTACAAATATCACAGAAGAACAATTGCTCGACAGGGGCATTTATAATTGACAATGCCCTGAACTTTAATGTTGAATTTGACAGAATTATGTACTAAAGACCGGTGGAGACAATTCAACTTCATGAATTCCCGATTTCATTTTTCTGAATTCCCTATTTCATCTTCATGAATTCACGATTTCAACTTAATGAATTTTCAATTTCAACTTTTTCATAAATTTACCATTTCAAATTTCATTAACTCACTATTTCAACTATAGTCATTCACAATTCAAACTTTACAAATTTGAAATTGTGAATTTACTTCAAGAACTCACGATCGTGAAGTTGAAAACATGAATTCATTACGTTGTAATCGTGAATTCATGATTTTGAAATTGTAATTTCGTGTAGTTGAAATGGTGATTTCACGACGTTAAATTATTCGTGAAGTTGTTATCGTGAATTCATTAAGTTGAAAACGTGAATTTATGAATTTTAACTAATTAATTCATGAACTTAATATTGTGAATTCATGAAGTTGAAATCAGGAATTCATGAATCCGAAAAATCGTGAATTCGTAAATTCCGTATGCTGGAAACGTGAATCACGAAGTTAAAATTGTGAATTCACGAAGAAAAAAAAAATATCGTTAATATGACCTAATGGTCTTGACAACTATCAAACACTGAAAATACTCGAGCACACTGTTCTACTAACAGCTTTTTGTTTTTGCAATATTGTTAAATAATAATTCTAAAGAAAAAGTGTACGCCCTTATAAGCTAGTAACAAAGCATGACTAAATTTCCAAATGGTAACAAAATGTGCAGGCTGATAATTTCTTGGGAACGCATAAAACAGTATATAATGAATTCCATATTTAAATGAATACATAAATTTTTTTCTTAATGAATTCTGTAATTTTGGTACCTGGATTCAGTTCATGTTAAAAGATATGTTGAGTTATTACAACTGCTATGACTTATTAAGATTTAAAATGTTATTTCTGTCTTATTTCAAAAAACAAATTTCGAACTATTATGATACATTAAAGAAGTATGAAACGTTCCTTTTTTGCAAATCTCTATAATTGTAGTTTTAGTTCAAAAGATGAACACTGACCTAAATTTGATAGTTTGCCAGAAAACTTGACGATCCTTGGGCAGTGGTTCTTTGTTGCCTTTTGTATAAATAGCTTTGGGACGGACCACAGATGAAAAATACCTAAAATTCCGACAGAAAAAAACTTAGTAATAGGTCCTTTATGTCATACCCGATCAAAAGTTTTGCTGATGTCACAAAATACGATTCAAATTATTTTCTTTCCATTGCCTATTGCTTCGCAGAACAAATTATAGATAACTAACGATTGATTTATAGCGGAAACCAGACTAGTCTTCTGCAATAATGTTGCTGCTTAATATATGATTTAATACGTGTTTGTATACAGCTTTTACTAAAACTTTGCTAATGGAGCAGAGAAGAAACTTATCTATAATATCTATACTTACTAATTAGTCTCATTCTTATTATGAACTGGTCATACGTTTGCAACCTTCTGTTGAGTAGGAAAAGTACCGATAGACTGAGAAGAATGAACAAATTTGACAAAGGAACAGCTAATTGAGACGACATTTCTTTTAAGACGCGATTTTTAATTAAATCGGGGCTTTTCCAAGGTAAAGTGTTCATAATAATGGTTCGTTATCATATGGATCAAAGTGAAATGATAATAGAGCTGAGCAGAAAGTATAAACTGGTGGTATCGGTTCCTGTTAGGTTCGTCGAGAAATGTTTGGTGGGCGAAGAAATGACTGAAGGTGTCCGCCTTTTCCTCATTGTCGTATAAAATATCACTGAGCAG